TATTACATGTTAATAACTTGATTGGAATTATAACCTTGAGTTGACAGTTTGATACTTTGAAAATTTTGAGCCAGCCCTACCCCCAAGGGCTGTAGGGTGGGGCTCAAGGGAGTCAGTGTGCTAAAATTTCTTCATTTTCCTTGTTTAGAATCAGAGGTGCTAGTTTCAAATCCTTTTTAGTCTGAAATCTGTATGCTTGATATTGAATAAGGTGGTTTTATTGTTTTTTGTCACTTTCAATAATATTTCTGTTCATGTTAAAAACGAAATCAACTCTCTGTATAGATATATCAGGTGACCGTTAAGGCCCATGGGCCTCTTGTTGAAGTTGCATACGGTATGTTTACATCATAACCATGTATGGACTGAGCATGTAAATAGTTGTACATATCAAACCTGATTTACAGGCAAGAACAGGCGAGTTGTATGGGTAGATAAAAAGTTGATAAAGATTAAGTTGGACCAGGCGACAGGAAACGAGTCACCCCCTGTCCACTATGACGAGGTGGAGGGGATGTTTTGTTGCACGCTGCTGGAGGTGAAGAGATACCATGACACAGTGTACATGTGTGTTGGAATGGTGGACCGTGTCATCATACTTAAGTACAACACAGACCTCCGCGCCTTCTGTGTCAGGAAGGTAAGACATACAAATATCTATATACTGTATACAAATATCTATATACTATATCCTTATTAATCATATGGAATTTGTGGGAGGCAATTTTCTGAAGTTTCTTTACCCTTCAAAAATTTAAACTGAAGTAAATACATGTACCACAATAAAACAGCATTAATTACCCTACTAGGATTTAAAGTTACTCCCACGTAGTACTTCTGCAAAATCATTATAAAACTTGTGAAAATTAGTAACTACTAATTATTTATACTACTGAACAAAGCCATGATACTACAGAAGTAAAAGAGGTTGGTCTGTGGGTAGAATAGTTCCTAGACTGGAACATCCTGATGTAATAATAACGCACAACAAAGGGAGACAAGCGTAAAGAGGTTGGTCTGTGGGTAGAATAGTTCCTAGACTGAAACATCCTGATGTAATGATAACACACAACAACGGGAGATAAGCGTAAAGAGGTTGGTCTTTGGGTAGAATAGTTCCTAGACTGGAACATCCTTATGTAATGATAACACACAACAAAGGGAGACAACCGTAAATTTGTGGGAAACTCTACAGCTAGACAAAGTCATTTTCTCAATGAAGTTTTGGTACAGGTTATAAGATGTAACAGAAAATTGTTCAGTGTTAAATAACTGAATTTTCACTATTGAAAAGGGAAATTGATATAGGTACTGATATTATCTAGATTAATATGGTATCTTCATTAGTCTTTCTCCATATAACACAAAACAGTGTGTAAAGTTTTGTGTATTGAAGCTGTTAAGTTTGGTTTGTATGTGTTGGGATAAACTCCAGAGTATAAACGCTGTGTTGTGTTACAGGAGCTGATGACGTCCGCACCCTGTAGCTGTATGTGTATAACAAATGACTTTGTCATCGTGGGGACAGACAAGTTCTATCGCATTGACTTGGAGCACCCAGCCATGACAGGTAGGTTTTCTCTCACCTTCCCATGTTTTTAGCTCACCTGCCCAAAGGGCAAGTGAGCTTATGCCATGGTGCGTCGTCCGTCGTCTGTCGTCCGTCTGTCCGGCGTCAACCTTTTACTTTAAACAACTTCTTCTCAGTAACCAAAAGGCCTAGGTTGATGATATTTGGCCAGTAGCATGCTGGAATCAAGGGCTACGAAGTTTGTTCAAATAAATGTCCTTGACCCACTTTCAAGGTCACAGGGGTCAAATATATCAAAATCTTCAAACAACATCTTCTCAATAACCAAAAGGCCCAGAGTACTGATATTGGGCCTGTATCATGCTGGGATAAAGGACTACCAAGTTTGTTAAAATGAATGACCTTGACCGACTTTCAAGATCACAGGGGTCAAATGTCGTAAAATCTTCAAACGCCTTCTTCTCAATAACCAAAAGGCCCAGGGTACTGGTATTGGGCCTGTGGCATGCTGGGATGAAGGACTTACAAACTTGTTCAAATAATGACCTTGACCAACTTTCAAGGTGACAGGGGTCAATTGTCGTAAAATCTTCAAACGACTTCTTCTCAATTACTAAAAGGCCCAGGGTACTGATATTGGGCCTGTAGCATGCTGGGATGAAGGACTACCAAATTTGTTAAAATGAATGACCTTGACCAACTTTCGAGGTCACAGGAGTCAAATGTCGTAAAATCTTCAAACGACTTCCTCTCAACAACCAAAAAGGCCCAGGGTACTGATTGGGCCTGTAGCATGCTGGGATGAAGGACTATCAAGTTTGTTCAAATGAATGACCTTGACCCACTTTCAAGGTCAAAGGGGTCAAATATGTGAAAATCTTCAAACATCTTCTTCTGAATAACCAAAAGGCCCAGGGTACTTATATTGGGCCTGCAGCATGCTGGGATGAAGGGCTACCAAGTTTTTCAAATGAATTACCTTGACCAGGGACAGTATATAGAGGGGATTGGCAACTCTGCCCCAGTCAAGATTCTATAGCACGTCGCTTTTGTGTTTGTTCACCGAACCGCGAAGTCATCGAGAGCCCCTCTCGATCAACCCGCACTTGCGCACTAGCGTTGAAATCATGTCACCAATCTCGCCGAGATGGGAGTGTTTTGATAACGGTTAGCCCTGATTGGGACTGTGTATTAGTAGGTCTTCTTTTTATTCCAGGGATAGGGCTATCGTTGCCACTATGTCTAGCCTTTCGGCTGTGTTGGTGGCTATTACAACAAATCACATTTCGTACAGCACGTTCCAGTGAAAATAATGCTAATACTGACACTTTTTGACACAAAAACAGCACAAGTTATTTGTTATTTTTTGCCATAAAAATTAGTACTACCACGGACTTAGATCTAATCTAATTCCGTGGTACTACATATCAAAAAATTATTCAACTTTCTATCGCTGTAAATTTCAAAATGAAGTATTTTTGAAATGAGCTGATCCCCGAATGAAGGCGATACTTTTTTGTTGGGTTTAACATTTCCGGTTGTTTACGTTTTTTAACAACACGTGTCCTTCGTTACCAGACGAGTAATTTCATCTGTGACATCGCTATCGTTCCAAATAATGCAAATCAAATCAGGCCAACTTAACATAGAAATTACTTGGCTGTTTATTGATATTAATTGTTTTAAAAAAAATAAACGATAGTTTATAAAATTAATCAAAACAGTGAGCAGTCACCAACTACTTTCGCAATAATGATTTACGTTCCAGTGAAAAATAATGCTGCTATTTACACTTTTGACACAAAAATAACACAAGTTTACCAGACGAGTAATTTCATCTGTGACATCGCTATAGTTCCAAGTAATGCAAATCAAATCAGGCCTACTTAACATAGAAATTACTCAGCTGTTTATTGATATTCATTGTATTAAAAAATATAAACGATAGTTTATAAAATTTAATCAAAACAGTGAGCAGTCGCAAACTACTTTTGCAATAATGATTTACGTTCCAGTGAAAAATAATGTTGATATTTACTCTTTTTGACACAAAAATAACACAAGTTAAATTATATTATTTGCAATTAAAACAGGTTGGGTCGTTATAAAAAATATTCAGCTTTCTATTGCTGCTAATTTAAAAAAGATCGGTCAAATACTTTTGGAGTGAAGTGGTTCACATACATGTGGGTTTTTTTTATCCCGCATTTTTGTCTATCGACGCCCACCACAATACCCTGAACCACGTGTTACATCGCGTTTAAAGATAGAAAAATATACCCCAAAAACGAGACATCAATTAATATGATACCACAGATTTTATCAATTATAAGTAATACAATCAGCTTATAACAATGGGATAAACAAAAGACGTAAGACCACTTATCGCGATTGGTTTGATTTCACGCCAACTTCTGTAATCTATCGAAGCGGTATCGACGCCATCTTGGTTTGTCAAAATTGAGAAAGGTGGCGCTCGCTATCTGCTCCTGAATCAGGGGGAGGTAAGTCTAGATTGACGTGTCATAAAATTGGTAAGGCAAAGAGGGAGTTGCTAATCCCCTTCACTATACGTCCCTGCCTTGACCTACTTTCAAGGTATTTCACACCTAATGTCCTTGTTCGACATTCAAGGTCACAGGCATCATGTTTAAATCTTTTAATAGGTTCTTATGAATCAAACACTGATATTCTGCCTGTAGCTGTTACTTTTAGTCCACTTTTATGATTAAAAGTGTGGAATTAATACCAGGTGAGCGATGCAGGCCCATTGGGCCTCTTGTTATTTATCCCAAACAGGCATATCAATACATACCCACCTATATATTCATAACTGGAATGTCCCTATACACCATTTGTCATAGGATTACCTGTCATGTCATAGGATTACCGGTTATGTCATAGGATTACCCACTGTCATGTGATTACCTGTTATGTCATAGGATTACCGGTTATGTCATAGGATTACCTGTCATGTCATAGGATTACCCACTGTCATGTGATTACCTGCTATGTCATAGGATTACCCACTGTCATGTGATTGCCCGTTATGTCATAGGATTACCCACTTTCATGTGATTACCTGTTATGTCAGAGGATTACCCACTGTCATGTGATTGCCCGTTATGTCATAGGATTACCCACTTTCATGTGATTACCTGTTATGTCATAGGTTTTCCCACTGTCATGTTATTACCTGCAATGTCATAGGATTACCCACTGTCACGTGATTACCTGCTATGTCATAGGGTTACCCACAGTCATGTGATTACCTGTTATGTCAGAGGATTACCCACTGTCATGTGATGACCTGTTATGTCATAGGATTACCAACTGTCATGTGATTACCTGTTATATCATAGGATTACCCACTGTCATGTAATTACCTGTTATGTCATAGGATTTCCCACTGTCATGTGATTTCCTGTTATGTCATAGGATTACCCGCTGTCGTGTGATTACCTGCTATGTCATAGGATTACCCACGGTCATGTGATTACCTGTTATGTCACAGGATTACCCACTGTCATGTGATTATCTGTTATGTCATAGGATTACCCACTGTCATGTGATTACCTGTTGTCATAGTATTACCCTTTGTTCATTGTTCTAGTATTAGCTGTATTTGTGAGATTACCTGCTGTCTAAACAACAGCAGATACATCTTTATTGTAGAAATGTGCATAAATACATATGAGCAGGATAATTGTACTCCTCGGGAATAAAGCAAAAATAAAATTCTCACAAAAACTAATTGATATAAAGTTAAATTAAATCGAACTGAAGAACTTTTTTTTTTGATTTTGTGATGTATCTTCATTTGATTTAACATTTTACATGTACATTGTTTATAATTTGCTCGTGTTCAGAGTTTGTTGACAAGAAGGACAACTCACTGGCATTTGCTGCATTTGGGGCAGCCATACACAAGAGTTTCCCGATAGATGTCGTCAAAGTGTCGCCCGAAGGACTGCCCCTGGAGTACCTCCTTTGTTTCCATGGTAATATTTACAGTTATTCCTAGTAGATGGTGTTTCTGCTCCATTTCTTAATTGTTCTGGGTTTTAATCCCAGGTATAACATGAGACTTATCCCACATTTATTTCTAGAACATCTGTGTGGTGTCTTTACTCTTTCTTATGCATTGTCAGTTATTTTGGTGGAAATCTACAAACAATCTTAATACTGTTTCAGAATTTGGTGTGTTTGTTGACATCAAGGGAAGGAGGAGCCGACCCAAGGATTTGAAGTGGAGTTGTCTTCCTTTAGCTTTTGGTAAATACATTATCATTGTTGATAGTGAACTTAACCTATTTTACATTTTATGTTCTATTTAGGAACTATGTAAATAATAACAGTATTTTGTTGCGGCATGAAGATTGTGCAATAGAAATATGTGTGGCAACTGTCTTCGAGCAGTTAACTTTCCCTCATATTATAATATTAGCTACTTTCTTCTAATATGACCCTCCACTCACAAAGAGTTCTACACAAGATATTTGTAGCCAGCTTTGATAAATAATTATAACAGCCATTCTAAGTAAAGGGTAACAAAGTTGAAAGGTACACAAGATTGCATACTTTGATAACACTCAAATAATTCTAAATCCTTATATAATGGTATTTGATAGTAGTGGGTAAAACACTTAATTTGATGATGTATCGTATTATGGATCAATAAGGTAGATAACTAATACAAATCCAATGGATACTGCGTAAAGGTGGGGTATCTCCTTAAATCAAATTTTATATGATAGATCATGTCTCAATATAATACATGTATTGATTGTGTTTACAGGTTACAGTGAGCCATTCCTCTACATCATTTACTTCAACAGTGTCCAGGGTATCACAATTCCTGCTGATAAGGACGATACAAGGTAAAAAGCTATACTATGACATTATGTAATTAGGCAGCTGTAGGGTTGGGCTTACTTTACTGAATCTTTATAGAGAAAATAACCAAGAGTTGAAATAATTGAAAGAAAAAAACTTTTTCTCTGGGATCTTAAGAGTGGAGAATTATAATGGCTTGCATTGTATGTATGATTATTTTCACTCAATGTCAAAATAACAACAAAACCACTTGAGTCACCTGAATCAGCATTGCTAATCTTTTTTTGGTTTTGAAAAATAAAGCCAATGTATTAAGTTTCAAACAAATGCATATGTATCGTGTAGTATGCTGATTATTTAGTTTGTATGTGGCAACTACAGACCATTATGGTAGTTTCAAATCGCCAATCACGTTTCACTTTTGCTATTGGCCCCGGTGGCGAACGCCAGTGTGAGCTCGGTCATGAATAATCAATATTGAAAAAGGGAACATAGAAGCTGTATCTTCTGCTAATTAAGACACATCGTAATGTGTTTTGTTCATGTTGTATCCGACCATATTTTGTAGAGGAAAGCAAACCATCCTGGACATGCATTGTCCACGGTACCTCGGCCGGGCCATCAGGATCGGTGGTGTGTACGTGTCAATAAGTGATGGCCAGGGCACTCAGCTTGTGTGTCTCCGGGGCAACGACGGCATGAATATCAACTACTATGAGGACAATAAGGAGAACAAGTACAGGTTAGTAGTTATAGTTATTTACAAGCTTGTCATTCATTAAATATGTGTACTAGGATGCTGATATTTGGCATGGAGGTCCCTGTGGGGTAGTGAAGTTAGAATTAGAAAATAATTTCAAATTTTTAATTTGTTTTGAAATGTTTTGTACTTAACCTTTTTATACGACCGTCAAATTTGACGGTAGTATTATGGTATGGCGTTGTCCGTCCGTTCGTATGGCGTAAACATTGTTTGTCCGGCAATCTCCTCCTACATTTTTCGACCGATCTATTTGAAACTTGGTATACATTATAATCATGATATGAAGTTGTGTCTCCCCTACAAGAATTTTGATTCAACAATTTTTGCAAAAGTTATTGCCCTTGGTTATCTGGAGATTTTATCCTACTTTTTTTATAGCATGTCAGCAAACCGCTCTTTGAATGATGCAGATCTATTTCAATGTAAGAAAGTATATAACACTATATGGCATTCTACGGGCATATATATTGTTCCGCCCCACGGTACTCTTGTTTTAAGTACATCAACGTTAAAGTTTTACCTGCAGGTTATTTAGACGCTTGTCATTCATTGTCTGTGGGGTATACTATTGATGTAGTGTGTTAAAATTGATAAATAATTTCAAATTTTTGCAATTCGACCTGTTTTGTACTGAACTTTTTTGAACCACATCATTGTTAAAGTTTTACCTGCAAGTTATTTAGACGCTTGTCATTCATTGTCTACTAGGATGCTGATATTTGGCAAAGAGGTTCCTGTGCGGTAAAGTATTGATGAAGTGAAGTTAAACAAATTTTTAAATACAACAAATTTTTAAACAGGCGATCATTTGGTACCATCTCTGGTTATTATTATTACAGTAATGAAATGTGAAGGTAGACATTATTAATAACCTGGTAGCGAGGAACGGATATTGAACGGCATAGGGGGAAACTTTGACAGGGCAAAACAATTCTGGAATATGGTAGCTCATACAAACTGTATGATGCTACCGCTCATAAGATAAAAAAAATCTAATTTTTCATGTAAAAATTATGTACATTTCATAATTATTTGTTGCAGTTTGGCAGTAAACAAAGGGAAGGGACGGTTTGGTAGTCCAAGGAGAGGCAACACCATGGGCTCCTCTCACATGCGACGACAGTTGTCCGGCTCCTCACTCGACAGTAACTTTAGTGAAGTCTCGTCAGTGTCCACAGCTACCAGTGTTGAGAGCTGTACAACGTATGGGTCAGAGATATGACCTGGACTGCAGGATGAACCTTTTAAAATGTATAGAGTGAATTATGACCTCTAGTATTGATGTTGGCTCTGTCAGACTCACTGAAAAACTCTACTTTTGGTGTATAAGACAAAAATCTGAACTTGAGCCGGGATCAGATAGAGGTATTAATGTAATTTACGTAGGTCACAAATCTGGGTCAGAGATATTAAACTTTTCAGTTAGACTGTTGAATAGTGACCTTTCACCAAACAGTATATAGAGTGCCATGGGATTTTTCGCAAAATATTGATCTTACTGTTTTACTGATTTTTAAGACCTCTGTTATGTATGTGATTTATTATCATTACCACTACCTTAATTGACCTAATAGGTGCTCTAGGCACTAAGGAATGTGAGAAAATCAGTGATTGCAGAACTTTTCAAAATTCTCACAAAATATAGCGATAATAGATACCATGTCAGTTTAAAAGTAAATTTTGGTGGATGGATTGGTCTCAAACCTGAAAAAATGATAGGGATGCTTATAAGGGAAGGGGGGCTTATTGTATCAAATATAGTATGACCTGTCATGTTATTGATTTACATACTATTTCCACAAGAACTGCTTTGTCCATGGCTTTACTGCATAATATTTATATAACATTATCATCACTATACCCTCTATAACAAAATTTGGTATAATGCCAACATTAAGTGGCTCACGTTTCATCACATTTCCACAAGACTTTGCAGGCTTTATCACCATCTGTAGTTCTGTAGCATTATTACTAGTTCTCTGTCTTGCCCGTTTTGTACCAATCTAATAATCGTTTTTAAAGAACATCGTCCATCCAATTATCATTGTCTTCACATTTTATGCCTTTTATTCCTGATGATTATGCACATTCCATAGGTATTGTCCACAGTTCAATTTGCCATTACAAAATTTGGTCAATACCCTCTATATACATTTTTCAATATTTATTGGCCCATTGGAGACCAGCACTATGATAAACTAATACATGTGTAGCACAAATTTACACAACATATGCAAACATCAATAATTATCAACACATACATTCATGGACGATCTCTATTAATTTTCAATTAGATGTAAAAATCTATTACAGAATGGTAAGTCTGTTTGCTTCGAAGTGATCCAATTATTTATTCTTGCCATGTGTGATACAAATATTAGCGTTTGAATTGGATCATTCTGAGTAGAAATAAGTCTACCACTGAAGTTTGTACATTTACATTGTACACATCAACATCACAGGCTCTGTGACACATACCTTTGACTGATCATTTTGGATCTACAAACACAATTAAGTTTTTGTTTAAACTGACTATTTGTGAAGCCTGAACTGGGTAAATATATTGATTCTATGTATTTTAAGTTAACAAGCAAAAGAATCAGGGGTAAGATTGTTCGGAATTACATGACCTATAGTTACAGTATAAAAGTTCTGATCAGCTTTTTATTACAACGATTTGTTTAACCAGACATTCCCTTAACTAGTGTTAGTGTAAATCATATTTTCACAAAAACACGTTTTCAATGTACATGTACTTCAACAACTGTTTTCAGTCAGGAAGACTGTAACAGTTATATTGCCCTACCCCTTGTATAAATGTATCATTACATACCCCTTGTTGAAATGTATCATTACATACCCCTTGTTGAAATGTATCATTACATACCTATTTAGAATATGGGATTGTGTAACTACACCTACAACTACATTTATATGCTGTGAAACAGTGATTTACAAAATCTTTTCACAAAAATGTTCACATACTATTCCACGATTCCTGTAAAATCATGCCTACTGTATCCAGATTTGTGTTCATTCATAGATAATGTGTGCCGAGTCCTGTTTAGTCATGCATACTTTATCTCAATTTGTGTTCTGTCATGCATACTTTATCTCAATTTGTGTTCAATGATGTATGATGGTTCCCAATTTGTGTTCAGTCATACATACTTTATTCCAATTTGTGTTTAATTATAGATGATGTATTATGATTCTTGTTCAATCATACACAATGTATCCAGAATTGCATAAAGTTTTATGCAATATCAATTTCCTAGTTTCAACTCATGGCATATATTAGTTACATGACGTGTACAGGGAACCACACAGTATTTGCGTAATTATTTTTGTAAATTTGGATGTTTTATGCATATTACTTTTATTTATTTTCTGTTAGTGTCTATATTCTGTATGGTGTAGTATTTTTTTAGAAGACCACTAGTGTATAGTTAGTTTTATAGATGACAACAGATGAATGGTCAGTTTTAAAGATGACCACTAGTGTATGGTCAATTTTATAGATGACCACTAGTGTTCAGAGATGATTTTAGAAGAGATCATTACTTGTTACAGTGTTTACTGGTGTATAGAACCAGTTTTATAAAAGACTTGTTTTCATCATGGCTAACAGAAATAGGTTTTGTTATCGATTACATCGATACATGATGTGAGGTTTAAAAACAAAATTAATCTACCTGCTATATCATCAAATGTATTGGGGTGCTTTCTGAAAAGTGCATACGACATTCTTGTGACTGGAAACTAACAGCTTTTTGTTCTCAAAATTTATTACATATAGTTAAGAAGTCCAAATCTAAACAAATCTAGCCCTGGACATAGTAAATTCAAAACTTAACAAAACTAGCACTGGGATATTTTTAATATTTACCTTCTTTTAAAATCTCTATGTAAGTTTTTAGAAACTGTAGAATAAAGAACACTTTTATCAAATTAGATACTTGGAACTAGAATAAGGTAAACAAAATTGTGCAATATGACTTCTGATCAAAATCCATTCACACCCGCCAACGGATAAATGAAGTGATTGGGTCCCATAATAACACTGCAGATATGTTAATTGACATTGTCTGCATAGAGCTGGTATCACAATAGGTTAAATTTGAGAAAAAACATTCAAAGTTTTTTTTTTATATTTTGAATTATAATGAAATAGATGTCACCTGATAAATGCAATTAAACTTGATAAAAACCTTCATTTGTTGTTGTTTTCACGTATATGTAAATTGTGTAGATTGGATTGCTTGGTAGATGAAGTGGTTCCGTTTTATGTTTCACCCCTCGTCACATAATGTGACTGGGTGGAATACTGTGCTGGATGCCTTCAGCATGGTGTTTCAGCGAGGTAGCGCTCTTGAAGTTGGCATCAGATCCGTGCTGTCACAAGAGGGCAAATACACAAACATGCTGCCTCCAGCACACATACCCATTAATCACCTTAGCCATTAATAGGCCAGTAAACCAAACAAAATCCTTTATAAGTGAAATGGTTTCCTTAGTGATCTGGTACTAAATAAATGGAACTTTTGGCCCATTATTCCACCCTAGCCTCCACAACTTCTAACCTATTTCTATCCTATATGTACTTCAACTAGGGTAAAGGTATGAATGTTCAGGTCAATCTCTATACATGTAGATTACATGTGATTACCTATAAACTACTTTAATCACTGAAAAAATTCTGTTTAATTCCTCAATAACAATACATAATCGTACGTACTGATCGTCATTTTGCTACTAACTATATGAAATGTAACTGCATACTGAAATGAAATACAAAGAATATCTTTATTTCTATACTTATTCTATATTTCAACTAGAGAAAAGAACAAGGTTAGTTACAAAATATCTTTATTTTACAATCTTCTTCGTAGAGCCACATCACTTAGGCATTTGACGAAGTTCAGTTCAGGTTTTGAGGGCTGAAAAAGTCAGAAAATACGTATTCTGTTTATGTCATGTTTCTGTTAATATCATGTTTTTATCTGACAAATGGGAAGTGATATTAAGCGAAATCTACTGTATAAGTATCTTGTTCTCAATCTAAACTTTAGCAATGATCGTTTCTTGATCTTCTCAAAGGACTATGTATGGTTTGGGCCTTTTTTGGCCAAATCCATCAAAATTAAAAATCTGCAATAGAACTTTCATACGAATGTTTCTTTAATTTTGAATACTTCCCCAGTACTATTATGTAAATATTTATTTGTGTTTTCAATTTTGGCTGCCATGGTAACCAGGTCATATTTGCATAAATTATTGAAATTTGATTATTCAGTCAATTTTGACAGGTTTTCACCTAGTTTTTCTCTTAACTACCATAGAGCACATTCTTGAACAAACTTTATATTTCTCCTAAAGATGTATTACAGGTGCCTTCACATTCTCCTTTGATATTAAGTTTGTTCAAGCATGCGCTCTATAGTTTCTAGGAGAAAAAACTATGCAAAATATCCCAATATTCACTGAATATTCATTTTTTTCTAATTTATGCAAATTTGAACTAGTTACCATGGCAACAATAATTAGAAATATAAATAAATATTTTCATAAAAGTATTTAGGAAATATTCAAAATTAAAGAAACAGTCATTTCAAAGTTCATTTAAAGATTTTGATGCATTTGGGGGCCAAAATAGGCCCAAACCATACATAGTCCTTTGACCTTAATATCCTGAAGCGATATCATGCTTCCATGCATTCAGTGACATGGTGACAAGCCGTGGACAGTCACCTCTGATCAGATTATACAACTCCTTTTCTACTGCTGGTCTGTGTCGAGATAGTATTTCAAAATGCTTGTTGTTTCTATACTGGAAATACCCGATATGTATTCTTATGTAGCTTGGCCTTTGTTTTTTTAGCAACATCTTGAATATTTGTCAGGGTGGCAATGATATTATGCAGTACACATTCTTTCAATACTTATAGGCAGATTTCTATTCCGTGCTTTTCTTCCATGCATGCACTTGTAACACGTAATTATACAAAAATACATGTTGATGTTGTCAGTATTCATCTAGTTGCTCTTGAGTATATGTTGTCAGTATTCATCTAGTTGCTTTTGAGTATGTTGTCAGTATTCATCTAGTTGCTTTTGAGTATATGTTGCTGTGTGTTTTTGCTCACATATAACACACACTCTTTGATGAACTTAAAATCATGAGGGTTCATGTATACATATAATTACTAAAATAAACAACTCCAAATAGCTATCTATGAAAAAAATAACTTCATAAAAAAATCAACAATGTTGAGTGCTTTGTTTAATATTTCAGTTTCTGCAATAAAAAAACAAAATATGAAATCACATTTTTTACATAGAACAATGATTGAGTGTCACTACTTTTATAGAACAATAATAGACTGTCACTATATATAGAGAATGATGCTAGACTGTCACTATATATATAAAACAATAATAGACTGTCACTATATATATAGAACAATAATAGACTGTCACTATATATATTGAATGATGCTAGAACGTCACTATACATATAGAATGATACTTGAGTGTCACTATATATATAGAATGATGCTAGACTGTCACTATATATATAGAATGATGCTAGACTGTCACTATATATATAGAATGATGCTAGACTGTCACTACCAGGTAATTCTGTAGAGTAAAGAAAGACTATCACTAATTGGAAGTCTTTCTGCAATTATGATTCAAATATTCCAGACTATTGGAGCTTGGATTAAACAATCAATTTTACATACCAATATTTAGTATGTGAACATAACTATTTCCAAACACAATGAACATGAACAGTTAGTTCCTGAAAGTAAAATATGATCCATCCTAACAAAAAAAAAGAATTCCTCTAAACATATAGCGCCTATAGAATAGAATAGTATGTCCACTTGGTAAGCTTATGTTATAAAGCTGCATGCTAATTGTCACCACTTTAGGGATTTAGGACTTAAAAGAAGATTTTAAGATATTTGACCCCTGTAAACTTTGTAAAAAGTTAACACTTTCGATAGCCCTTCATCCTAGCATGTAACAGGCCAAATACAACCCTAGGCCTCTTCTTTTTACCAGAAGAAATGGTTTTTAGAAAATTCACGCCGAAGGACATGCTACTTAGGCATATGTGTAAGCAACTTTTTTAAAACAAGTTCAATGTGAATAGTAGTATTGTACAGAATTCCTATGTTGATGTAATCGGTGAATTTCATTGTGAGATGAGTATTCAATTTTAGACTTATAGGTCGTAGGATAACATACATATTACACTTAATTGTATCTAGTCGCATAGACATCACATCCCTTCATTGGGCACAAAACTCTAAACGTGCCACAACATTTTCTGTAGATGGTAACGTTAGTAATACATGTACAATGTATATAGTAAAAGTGACAAAGATCTTACCGTACCACAACATTTTCTGTAGATGGTAACGTTAGCAATACATGTACAATGTATGTATAGTAAAAGTGACAAAGATCTTACCGTGCCACAACATTTTCTGTAGATGGTAATGTTAGCAATACATGTACAATGTATGTATAGTAAAAGTGACAAAGATCTTACCGTGCCACAATATTTACATTGGTAATTCATTAGTAACAAATAGCAGTGAAAGTAATTTGTGCATAGGGACTGACAACTGTCATTAATTATACCATGTTTGGTATATACGATAAATGTGAGTTATGGTATATTGTCAGTCAGAAGTAAAGACTTCAGATTAAAACTGTCCTCTTTCGTAGCAGGTAGTAATATTTTTTGGAACAAGATCTCTAAATTAAATATGAATGTCAATGTTTTTGGCAGTCTAGTGTGGCTGAAGAAGTAGAATGTAAGATTATTTACAGGGACAACTCAGTAGTAACACAATAGGTCAGGTATTTTGCCATGCTGCCGGAGTAGTGTTCATAGAATATGTAGCGGAAAGTTTACAGTAGTGTGAACACATTGTAATATACCCCTTTATACACATAAGATAAGTATACACTTGTTACTAGTTTTTTTTATCAAATCAGCTGATTTCATATAACTTTGTATGTTCATTTGCCAAACTTCCACCATTCAAATTCAAGACCCAAAGAGCCCATGATCAGTCATGGGTACGGTTTCCTCTGTGAAAACCACTCCTTTTACACAACCACAGGCACCATTTAGATTGAACACTCCTTCACAAATTGTCAACAATGGAGTAACACATTGTTACAGGATGAAAACAATGAGCCTTCAATAAGCTGTCTGTTCAGCTGAGGTAGTCACGGTGGCTGTTTGAGAAGTTATAACACGAATGAGGCAATCCTGGGTGTCCCTGTATTAGTCTATAGCTTCAAGAAAATGTCTTTTTGACTCATTTAATATCACATCACTTGGATCAGATCTAACGTGTAGCCGTCCTCTATTTCTAAGTTATCTGCTGAGTCTCTTAAGTCAACACTTTCACCATCAAACATAAGTCTTAAATTTGAAGGATCTTTGCCGGTTTTTGTTGCATATTGATGAATCAGCCCATCCAAAGGTGATGTCTTAAATAAAAAAGAGAAATAAAAATGTTACAAGATAAGAAGCAAGAGGCCCATGGGCACCTGAGTTCTGATGTATTTATACAGAGAGTTGATTTTTGTTTTTAAAACATGGACAGAAATATTATTCAAAGTGACAAAAAAACAATAAAATCACCTTATTCAATATCTAGCGTACAGATTTAAGACTGAAAAGTATTTGAAACTAGCACCTCTGATTCTAAAAAAAGCCTACAGCCCTTGGGGGTAGGGCTGGCTCAAAATTTCAAATCATCAACATGTAATATCCAAAGTACCCCAGGGTCATGAAATTCACAATTTTGGTAAAGCACCTTAAGAACATTCCATCTTTGAAGAGTATTTTATTTTACCATATCTGGGTATTGAGAAGAAGATTTTTGAAATTTTAGTCAATTTGACCCTTTTTGGCCCCGCCCCTCAGGCCCCTGGGGGCTGGGGACCATATAATTCACAATTTTGGCTGACTTTTGGCCATGGAGGTTTCTGCAAAATTTCATTGAAATTGGTTCAGGGGTTTCGGAGAAGAAGTTGAAAATGTAAATTGTTTACGGACAGACGACGCATGATGGAGGACGGACAAAAGGCGATCGCAATAGGTCACTTGAGACTTTGTCTCAGGTGACCTAATAAACCTACTGTAAATACTGCCATTCTGAAGACTCAACTTTAGACTAATGCTGCTCTGTATTAGGAAGGGCAACTTAAGTTTCAACACCAAGAAGGATTTTTTTATGAGAATCAATTTCCAATAGGCCATATATAATTGGATAGGGATCTAGAGTTTCCACAGATACTTTTGACCTTTACATCTTGACACTGACCTTGTCCAGCTTGAACTCCATTTTGTGGCGGTCGTTTCTGATCTGTATATAAAGTGTGATACGGTTAATGTCGTCCAGACTGTCATTGAAGTCTGTCGCAGGTGCCGTCCACTCTTCTCTGTTGATGTGACAGTCTGAAAAACAAATACCACACATATTCAGTCTGGAATACGATGTTGGTCGACGTCATCAGCCAGGACCTCTTATCACTGGTGACTTAAAATCCTGGCAAAGGTACAGCATCATTAGTTAAAAGAGTACTGGAAATTACATACAACACACACATAAGATATTCAGCTCCTTTGAACTCTTACAAACAAAGAATAATAATTTGATATATATGAAAAGTCCGATTGATTTGACATCACATGTCATCAGTTGTACACCAAAACTATAGGGTAGCTTGAACACGGTATTTTCAAACTGCTATTGTAGTCCAGGGAAACTTTTGTCACGAGACCCAAGTTCTGCATTTGGCAGAGAGCATCGTGATGTTACAATTGAAAGGCCATCCTAAAGAAAATATTAGCTTTAAGTTTCTTAAAATAGTAACACAGAGTCATTATCATCAACTTCCATGTTATTATGGTTTAATCAATGAGACAGAATAAAATGGTGTCATCTTGTATATGCCTTCTTTGCTTTCATCGAATATCGGTACATAGCAAACCATAAATAGAAATTACATTTGTGGAGAAAAATTTATGCTGGTTGAATATGGATTTTACCAGTGAAGGGTAAAATATCTAGAATCAAGTTTCTCGGTATACATTATGGTTCAAATGGGTTTTCATTTTATTATTTATAATTTAATCTTGCTTGTAACATGCATTTTCATTGGCTTCTGGGATTGTCTTTAGCAGAGATCATTTAACTTACCTATAATGTCTGCCGTTTTTAACTCCAGACTTCTGGGCATGTCTTCAGCAGAGATCAATTAACTTACCTATAATGTCTGACGTTGTTAACTCCAGACTTCTGGGCGTGTTTTCAGCAGAGATCAATTAACTTACCTATAATGTCTGCTGTTGTTAACTCTAGACGTCTGGGCATGTCTTCAGCAGAGATAATTTAACTTACCTATAATTTCAGGGGTTGTTAACTCCAGACTTCTGGGCGTGTTTTCAGCAGAGATCAAGTAACTTACCTATAATGTCTGCTTTTGTTAACTCTAGACGTCTGGGCATGACTTCAGCAGAGATAATTTAACTTAACTATAATTTCAGGGGTTGTTAACTACAGACTTCTGGGCTTGTCTCCAGCAGATATCATTTAACTTACCTATAATGTCAGCGGTTGTTTACTGCAGACTTCTGGATGTGTCTTCAGCAGAGATCATTAAAGTTACCTATAATGTCTGCTGTTGTTAACTCTAGACGTCTGGGCGTGTCTTCAGCAGAGATCATTTAACTTACCTATAACTTACCTATAATTTCAGGGGTTGTTAACTCCAGACTTCTGGGCTTGTCTCCAGTAGATATCATTTAACTTACCTATAATGTCAGCGGTCGTTAACCGTCTTCAACAGAGATAATTTAACTTACCTATAATGTCTGATGTTGTTAACTCTAGACGTCTGGGCGTGTTTTCAACAGAGATAATTTAACTTACCTATAATGTATGCTGTTGTTAACCCCAGACGTCTGGGCGAGATCATTTAACTTACCTATAATGTCTGCCGTTTTTAACTCCAGACTTCGGGGCATGTCTTCAGCAGAGATCAATTAACTTACCTATAATGTCTGCTGTTGTTAACCCCAGACGTCTGGGCGAGATCATTTAACTTACCTATAATGTCTGCCGTTTTTAACTCCAGACGTCTGGGCATGTCTTCAGCAGAGATAATTTAACTTACCTCTAATGTCTGCTGTTGTTAACTCTAGACGTCTGGGCATGTCTTCAGCAGAGATCAATTAACTTACCTATAATGTCTGCTGTTGTTAACCCCAGACGTCTTGGCGTGTCTTCAACAGAGATAATTTAACTTACCCTATAATGTCTGACGTTGTTAACTCCAGACTTCTGGCCGTGTTTTCAGCAGAGATAATTTAACTTACCTATAATGTCAGCGGTCGTTAACCGTCTTCAACAGAGATAATTTAACTTACCTATAATGTCTGACGTTGTTAACTACAGACTTCTGGGCGTGTTTTCAGCAGAGATAATTTAACTTACCTATAATTTCAGGGGTTGTTAACTCCAGACTTCTGGGCTTGTCTCCAGGAGATATCATTTAACTTACCTATAATGTCAGCGGTCGTTAACCGTCTTCAACAGAGATAATTTAACTTACCTCTAATGTCTGCCGTTGTTAACTCTAGACGTCTGGGCGTGTCTTCAACAGAGATCATTTAACTTACCTATAATGTCTGCTGTTGTTAACCCCAGACGTCTGTGCGTGTCTTCAACAGAGATAATTTAACTTACCTATAACGTCTGACGTTGTTAAATCCAGACTTCTGGGCGTGTCTTCAGCAGAGATAATTTAACTTACCTATAATGTCTGATGTTGTTAACTCTAGACGTCTGGGCGTGTTTTCAACAGAGATAATTTAACTTACCTATAATGTCAGCGGTCGTTAACCGTCTTCAACAGAGATAATTTAACTTACCTATAATGTATGCTGTTGTTAACCCCAGACGTCTGGGCGAGATCATTTAACTTACCTATAATGTCTGCCGTTTTTAACTCCAGACGTCTGGGCATGTCTTCAGCAGAGATAATTTAACTTACCTATAATGTCTGATGTTGTTAACTCTAGACGTCTGGGCGTGTTTTCAACAGAGATAATTTAACTTACCTATAATGTCTGATGTTGTTAACTCTAGACGTCTGGGCGTGTCTTCAGCAGACATCATTTAACTTACCTATAATGTCTGCTGTGTTAACCCCAGACTTCTGGGTGTCTCCAGCAGAGATCATTTAACTTACCTATAATGTCTGCCGTTTTTAACTCCAGACGTCTGGGCATGTCTTCAGCAGAGATAATTTAACTTACCTATAATGTCTGACGTTGTTAACTACAGACTTCTGGGCGTGTTTTCAGCAGAGATAATTTAACTTACCTATAATGTCAGCCGTCGTTAACCCCAGACTTCTGGGCGTGTCTTCAGCAGAGATCATTTCCCTTACCTCTAATGTCTGCTGTTGTTAACTCTAGACGTAATGTCTGCCGTTTTTAACTCCAGACTTCGGGGCATGTCTTCAGCAGAGATCAATTAACTTACCTATAATGTCTGCTGTTGTTAACTCTAGACGTCTGGGCATGTCTTCAACAGAGATAATTTAACTTACCTATAATGTCTGACGTTGTTAACTCCAGACTTCTGGGCGTGTTTTCAGCAGAGATAATTTAACTTACCTATAATGTCTGCCGTCGTTAACCCCAGACTTCTGGGCGTGTCTTCAGCAGAGATCATTTAACTTACCTATAATGTCTGCTGTTGTTAACCCCAGACGTCTGGGTGTCTCCAGCAGAGATCATTTAACTTACCTATAATGTCTGCTGTTGTTAACCCCAGACGTCTGGGTGTCTCCAGCAGAGATCATTTAACTTACCTATAATGTCTGCTGTTGTTAACCCCAGACGTCTGTGCGTGTCTTCAACAGAGATAATTTAACTTACCTATAATGTCAGCGGTCGTTAACCCCAGACTTCTGGGCATGTCTTCAGCAGAGATCATTTAACTTACCTATAATGTCTGCTGTTGTTAACCCCAGACGTCTGGGTGTCTCCAGCAGAGATCATTGAAGTTACCTATAATGTCTGCCATCGTTAACCCCAGACTTCTGGGCGAGTCTTCAGCAGAGATCATTTAACTTACCTATAATGTCTGCTGTTGTTACCCCCAGACGTCTGGGTGTCTCCAGCAGAGTACATTTTACTTACCTATAATGTCTGCTGTTGTTACCCCCAGACGTCTGGGTGTCTCCAGCAGAGATCATTTAACCTACCTATAATGTCAGCGGTCGTTAACCCCAGACGTCTGGGAGTCTCCAGCAGAGATCATTTAACTTACCTATAATGGCTGCTGTTGTTAACCCCAGACGTCTGGGGGTCTCCAGCAGAGATCATTTAACTTCCCTATAATGTCTGCTGTTGTTACCCCCAGACGTCTGGGTGTCTCCAGCAGAGATCATTTAACTTACCTATAATGTCAGCGGTCGTTAACCCCAGACGTCTGGGTGTCTCCAGCAGAGATCATTTAACTTACCTATAATGTCAGCGGTCGTTAACCCCATACGTCTGGGTGTCTCCAGCAGAGATCATTTAACCTACCTATAATGTCAGCGGTCGTTAACCCCATACGTCTGGGTGTCTCCAGCAGAGACCATTTAACTTACCTATAATGTCAGCGGTCGTTAACCCCAGATGTCTGGGTGTCTCCAGCAGAGATCATTTAACTTACCTATAATGTCTGCTGTCGTTAACCCCAGACTTCTAGGTGTGTCTCCAGGAGAGATTGTCACATCATTATGTATTAATAAAATCTGGCTCTCAGCTACCTCAAGTCTTTGTGATAAGTTTGTCAATATTTGTTTGAAGAAATCATTCTGAAATGATAAAATATCTGTTGAAAACAAAGTAATTTCAAAACAAATCAGTGATTGCAACATCACTTTTTACGTCGGTGTGACATGCACTATTTTTGTTTAACATGTGACAATTAATCCTCTAGGAAAACTTGTTTCATCAGCACCATCAAAACACATATATGTCCAGTAGGTATAAATTGTAACACATTACAGTAAATTCAGTGGTTGGACAGATATTTATGACGTAATTCAATGACTGATGAAATTTCCAATGCTTCAGTTACCTCCATGACAGGGAGTCTATATGTGTCTGTCCCATGTTTGACCTTGAGCATCAGTACATCATCCTCTGTGTCTGTACAGATCGTAACATCACTGGTGTTAAGCTCACTCTCCGTGGAACGGTTCACATGGAGCTGCGTCTTTGTTTGTGACAGGTTGCTGTAATATATAGAGGATATTTAATGGTGTTTTCAGTAATACCAAATATATTTCACGAGTGTGGCTAATATTTTGATATTTTTCACTCGTGCGCACTCGTGAAAAAAAATTGTTATTACTGAAGACACCATTAAATTTTCTATTTATTGCATTTTTAAAGCATAAAACATGAAAAATGTAATGCATTAAAAAAGGGTAGGAATCAGAAGAATCAGAAGCGTAATAATGAGCGCCATATTCTAATGACGTCACTCTTGACAACAAGCTTGCGCGCCATTTTGAATGGGATACTCAACGCAATTCCGACATTTTTCTACTTTTTTCTTGTATGATTGCTTATAAACACGTTATTAATTGTATATTTATGTAAATACTTAAGTGTGTGTACCAGACATTTACCATAACGACCACTTAATACTTAATATTGGTGATGGGACGGAGTTTATGTCCGCTTCATTACTGAGCAGTTTGTTTATCCAGCAGATAAAAATTAGAAAAAAACCTGGATTGTCTAATATTACACAGTTTCACTACATTTTGGAAAGTTATTACCCCTTGTGCATACCAAATGTTACCTTTTGGCAGCAGACTCTATCCTACTGAGATCAAAGTATTTTCATTTTCTGAATATAAGCACATTTTATTACTACCTACCATTCCAGTGGATTCTTTTCTGGTAGGAACCAAGATGGAGGTCATATTTATAACACCACAATATTTATCGCTATTTTACAACGGAAATTTTACAAATTTAATATAAAGTCAATTTTACACAGCACATATTAACGGATGATCAAGGACTGAAACGTTACACAGTTCACAGACAAGTTAAAATTCGGTAACAGTACTTAATGGTTGGATAAGGAGTTGACTGAAAATTACAACACGTAGCATACAAAAACTGATGCTGGATAAATAAATGAATTTGTGGAATTGAATTCTGATCAAATTGAGTCGATTGCAAAAATTTACCACAGGGCTTCTTTCACAGCCTTAGTCATCCTTGGTTTTCTTCTGGCTTGTTCTGCATGTACCATGGCCCTTGGGGGTGATGGGGGTCCTGGTGGAGGCGAGGGTGATTTCAACGGTACAACAGGGGTTGTTGTGCTAGGGGAAGTGCTGTAAATGGGGGATATTCAGAGTCAATCAGTTACTTTATGTCTCCCATACTTAGTCGTCATTTTATGTCCACCCATACCGTTACTTGCAAGAACAAGTTGATCATCTTTGGTATTATATTTAAAACTTACTTGTACTGAATCAGTTTGATTTTCATTTTTTTCCCATATATAATAATTCATTAATCATGTATTGGTATTCAAGGAATATGGCAATAAGAAAATTGCTCTCAAATCACACCCCTCTTTTATAAATGGACTACAGTGTGAAAAGGTATCGCTCAAATTCATTTATTTTATTTGTTTACACATTTGTCTTAAGAAATTCTTTAACATTGATGTCGGACATACAATATTACCATATCAGATCATCTTCATCAAGAATAAAGAGGTCATCATCCACATGTCGTGTCTGCCTTGTAGATATCTTTCTTTGTTTACAGGACAAAATTGAACCTGTCTCTTCTTCTACATCTGTACATCATAAATATTTTATCATGATTTCACTCTTTTCTACATCTGTATGTCATAAATGTTTGATAATGATTTCACTCTTTTCTACATCTGTAAATCATGAATATTTTATTATGAATTCGCAACAGCTTTTTAGTACTTCCATCTGAATTTAAATATCTTTAATACTGGTAAACTTTGATATTTTGCCCCTCATTGAACATTTCATCTTCTCAGGCTTGAAATTTTAACTGTTTTAAACTTCAACATTAGTTTTGAAATAGAAACCGATTGTCTTTTGGTTATAAACAATAATGAAATCCTTACCTGAACCATTTGAGACTTGATTTGTGATTAATTCATGATTTAGTGGAATTGAACCCGATTTGGAGCTGAAACATTTGTTCACTTGGGTGGAATATATAGCTGTCTCTTGAGCAGTCAAGTCACTGGGAATTTCTGAGTTTTGCAATTTAAGTCTGCTGGCAAGTCCCCGGGGACGCCTGTTTGGGTTTGTTTTCTTCACTGGTGTGTTCTCATCACTACTGTCACTGTCCGACATTGCGGGAGCGACGTGAGACTAAAAATTAGACAACACATACCACATCATCAATCATCAAGATAGGCAAAACTTGCACTTCGCCAGTCAGTATTGCTGTTCCTGAAGAAATGGTAGGACATAAACTTATCTTCATTGTGGGGAAATTCTTTCCAAGTTTTATCATGAATTATGACAGAAATAGTTTGGCATTGGGAGTTGTTTTAATCAATTTAGCCCAAGTAATTCGTCATCACTCATGAGTCTAAGCATCAAGACATTTTCTGCAGATATGTTTTTTCTTTATGAATAATGATAAACTCCTTGAAATAGATTGATGATGCAACATTCTTATTGAAAAAGAAGTTTTGATCAGTCGAGTACAAGTTACGGTACAATTTCATAGAGCACAAAACCAACATCTTGCCAACTCTCCCTATTTTGGAGGGTGACTGGCGATTTTGGACCATTAAATTTAATATTTTCATACAACAAATTTGCTTAATTTAAGTCCAATTTTCAATAAGTTCATCTCAAAGACCAACTCATAAGTTGCCAATTTAGAATTTTCTCCCCTCTGGGTATGTAGCAAAACTGGACAGGGTTGATTGCCAACGACAAGGTATCTCCATTGGTAGAGTGTCCATCTAGATTTTGGAGGGTTCCAGGTTCAAATCCTGGTGTGGTCATTCATTTTCTCTCTTTCCTGTTACATATATACACATCTATTTTATGTTTTCAATTTTGAGCAAGCAGAATATCTCCCATGGCAATTTCAAAAAGTTGGAAAGTACTATGTTCCAAAAGAATTTCCTGAAGCCAACTGACACGGAACTTCTCTGGATCTACTATGTGGCATCAGACCACTGATAATCCTTCCAGTTCCTTGTACATGAATATAATGCATTTCAACTCATAATTTACTATTTAGTTTTGATTCCATGATAAGAATAAACTGAAATTATAAGCTACATATACTTATAAAAAAATGCCACCCCTATACTAATGCTTGTAAACATACGAGAAGGGAGGAAAGCTAACTTCCTTGCACAAAAAACAACACATGTTGATGTACGAAAAAATGCTTAGTACCATTGGAAAGTTAATTTTTCTTTTAAAAACCTCCTATACGCACGTAAAAATGTATTGAATCTCTTTCCGCTAACATGATCTGTTTCCTCCAAAAAACACACCATTTCCAAATAGGGAAGGTTTTTTTTTCGCAGTTATAGAGCCACTTTTTGTATATTCATGAGGTTGATGTCGGCCACATACCGAGACCCATGGTGTGATTGGCTGGCAGCGCAGCCAATTTTTCCTCAAAAATAAACAGCTAAGCAATACTATGTTTTGCCACGAGGCTGACGTCAACCTCATATATATAAGCATAGGGTGGTATTTTACCGAAATTCGATTAAAACCCCTGAAATATGTAAAATTACTCTGACCACCTTAGTTTAGGTCTACATATATACATGTACAGCTGCAACAAATTCTCAGGTCCCTGTGATGTTGACATATTCTGTTATACCAAAAATACCAGTAAACGAATAGGTTAGTTGCTGGCAAACCATAAAGGGTGAAGAGAACTTTGTAGAGACCAAGGTCCCCAGAAAACTTAAAGAACGTTTTTAAAACGAGTTTTTAGAACACTGAATGTTGATAGTAGAAAGTCAAAGAAAGGAAAGGGGAGGGAACTCGGGTAACAATAACAAGTTCTAGAAATTGACAAATAAGTGTTAATTTCTATGTTATCTTTGTTATATGAACATAAACAATAATATACGTAAGTATAAGTTTACATGAATATCAATTTCTTAGATAATTCATTCATAAAATGACGCAATCACGCATAAAACATGACCGGGTCTAAAATAAACTGAGTAATCCAATATCCCAGATTAAGCACCGAGAAAGGGCGCAGTAGAAAGTATATTGTTTTCAGCAGAAACAAATACATCTTTATCGATTCTGACAGACAGGATCATCTTAATTGGCTCACCTTTGTTTTTAAATTCGTTCAGCTCTGACTTTCACTTTACATCGCGCCAATGTGCCCGGTAAATATAACTTACGGGAAAACCATAACAGTCCACAACACAAGTGATTTTGCGGAATCACATAAAGTAACGAAACGAATAAGAAAAACTTATAAAGATATTAATTTTGGACTTCAGCAAGGCATTCGACACTGTCCCTCATGATAAACTACTGCTCAAGATAGCTGCATACGGCATTGATTGAAATATTCATAACTGGCTTTCCTCATTTCTAAGACGAAGCTTTCCTCATTTCTAAGACGAAGACATTCCAAGAGTGTGCACGTAAAATAATCCGGAGAACCCCAGGGAACGGTATTAGGGCCACTCATGTTCTTATATCATATAAACGACTTACCTGACAGAGTATCAACCGAAGTTCGGCAATTTGCCGACAACTGTCTTTTATATCGTCAAATAAAATCGGAAAGTGACCATTACTACAGCAGAATGGGGCATGAAGTTCAATGCGAAAAAGTGCTTCATCATTAGTATACGACAACCCATCTTTACCAATTGAACAACACCATCTTACAACAAGTCAAGCTCCTACTTACAAGTCACAGACGACTTAAGTTATACCCAAAGTAAATAAAAAGGCAAACCCTCTACCCTCGGATTCTTAAGGAGAAACCTGAAACATCGCCCATTAGAGTGCAAAAGAATAGCCTTCATCGCCCTGGTCAGATCCACCCTAGAATATACTTCACTGAGTCGTCTGGGATCCTTATTTAAAAAAATATATAAGCTCATTGGAAATATTTCAGGACTATAGAAGCCAAACAGAAGGTACGTGTGTCACCGCCATGCTCCAAGAGTTGGGTCTACCAACCTTACAGCACATATGCAAGCTAAACCGTTCAATGATGCTAACCAGGGGTATGGCACCGACAATCACCTTGTCAGATTTCTTAATCCCGACCAAAGCTAAACGCCAAATCCGAGCCACTAAATACTCAGACTTTCAGTATACAAATATTGTCGAAAAAAGTGTGACAAGTGTAACTGCTTCATTAGTAAAACTATTGCTAAATCAAACCAATTCAAACATTCTTTCTACGAACTATTCTTGATTGGAACCAGCTTGATGAGAATGTGATACGCGCAGAGACAGTTCGGGGTTTCAAAGACGCTCTCACACATTACTACTAGAGTAACCAGCCTCTCTCCCGAAGAATCATTTACCAGAATTGATCCTTTCTTCGTAGCTCTACAGATACAGATACATAGACCAAACAGGAACATGGGAACAAGACTGGCTTAAATGCTAAAATGAGTGCCTGTATGCATCTTTGGATGCTGCAAATTCACGACATTTCTTGGAACCTTGGGTGCGACTGTCTCCTACCTCTAGGTGTTCATGTGGGACGTCAACTAGTCCATGGGTGATCTGAAACATCATGGTCAGTCGGCTCTTCGCAGGTCTGGTTGCCAAGCTCTCCCATCAGAGTTGTTGTGTCATGCTTGGTAACCGCTCCAAGAGTGTTATCACTGTAGTTGTTTTTTACGAATCTTGCTGCCCTCCGCTGGACCTTCTGAATTTATCTTATTTGTTGTTTGGTGTATGGGTCCCAGACGGTTGCTGGAACCATGTCCGGACCTGTTGCTTTATGGGGATTTAGTCCCTTCAGCAATCTGTGGACCCTCTCTGGTCAATCCTGATGTCTTGCATAGGGGGTGGGGGTACGCATTGGCTAGGGGTGTGTGAAATATCCTCCCTAGTATAGACGGACTGGAACTGCGTGTTCAGGATCTCAGCTTTGGTTGAAGCATCATTGTGTAGCAATCCAGTAGTATGCTTAAGTGGTGCTACCCCGGTGGTGTCCTGTTTGCGGCTCTTCAGGTAAGACCAGAGTCTTTTAGGATTTCCTCGCATGTCACCGCCAATCCATGTATTTGTCGTGTGCATGTCTAACTTCCCGTTGTGTCTCTGCCTGTAATTCCTTGTATCTCTCCCAGTCTCTGGTGTGTTTTGGTCTTTTGGCCCTCTTGTGGGCTCGTTGTTTTCTTCGTGAAAGTCTAGATATATGTCTGTTGGCCAAGGGGTTGGTGCTTTTACTAGACGTCAACTTTGATGGAGTCCTTGTCTGCTCTATCCCATATGTATATTTTCCTGCGTGTTGGTTTACGACGCCGCAATGTTATCATCGTGTCTAGTAAGACAATGTCATGGTCACTTTTACCTAAGGTGGTTAAGCACTTACATCTATCTACGAGTGATGGTTGTGAAGTGAACATCAGGTCGAGTATGTGTTCCTTCCTTGTGTGGAAATCTACCGTCTGGATGAGGGAGAGGTCATCTGCCATGTTAATGATTTGGTCTTTCACATTTGGCGAGAAGGCCATTGGATGTCAGGAAGATTAAAATCTCCACCTAGAATGAACACTGAGCCCTTGCGTTGGTTCCTTACCTCAGTGTTGTCTCTGACTGTAGTGTCCATGTACATATCATCGTGTCTGTTCGGGGGCCTATAGTATGTCGTAACAATCAGGCACCTCTGTTTCGGGAATCCACCTTAATACTCATTAGCTCTGCATCTTTGCTCACATGGATCTCTGATGTAATGAGGTCCTTCTTGGAAGCAATGAGTATCCCACCATGGTCGTCGGTGTCCCGATATCTGCGTTTGACATCATAAGTATCAGGTATAAACTCTGATGAGAACATTGACTGGTTTGTCAGGGTTAGCAGACTCGAGGAGAACTCGAAGAATTACTTTGTTTTTGATGCTTTGGAAGTTGACGAAAAGTATACTGATGTTTTTGTGTGTGTTTGTCTTTCGTGCGTCTCTAGCTTTGTTGTTTGTTTTGGGCTTAGGGGATGATGCTGTCCTTGGGCTATCCAAAAAGTGCCGTGTCGAGTATCGATGACACCAGTGTTGTCAGGGGTCCAGGAGATGAAATGATCCCTATAACACTGAATATGATTTGGTGCATGTCAGTAGAGTGTCATATACTGTGGTGTTATGATTCGGCTTATTGCACGTAGTACAATACCAGGAGACTGATGTATTCCCAAGGTGTTCATATGTTGAACTATCCATACCCATACATAACACATGGAACCACTGGTCACATTCTGCGCAGGCAAGTGCTCTCTGACTCCATTTACACGTCTTGCTACATACACAACAAGGAAACTGTGCTTCTTACGGCCTGGGTTGGTATCCAAACCACTGATGATTAGTAATATGGCACGAACACAGCCTCTGGCGTTATGGTAGGATGTACATACTGGGTACTTTGGTGTGCAATGAAGCCAATAATAAACGAATGTATTGTTAAATGTTTTGCATGGATATATGCAAAGAAGGTAAGTGGTTGGTTAGAGAAGGAAACTTACCATCTGCATGATAAATATGACCACAAGAGGCATGTATTGAAATGATTATATATTGAAGGTCAATGGTTTTGATAATTCTCATTAATGTGCATTGAAGTTTGTTGTCACTACCCGAGTTCTGAATGTGAGGGTGTGACATTACTTGAATTTGACTTAGATTTAGATGATGGGTGTCGTTAATGAAGCAGACGACGCCTACCCTTCCGGAACACCTGGTCTTATTCTCCTTCTATTTTTTCAAGCAAACGAGAAAAAATGCAGAAGAATGATAAGATGGAAAAAGGGTCAATTAACATTAGTTAAACATACAGCGGCTGTAAAAGATAACAATGCTATTTTTGTCATATATCTACTATCGATCTGAGAGTGCTTTTCTTCTCCTTTTGCTCATTGCGTTCACCATCTCGGATTTTATCTTAGCTTATCATTGTCTCTCTCACACAGAATACTAAATAAATAAATAAGTCAATAGACAACCTTTGATATAGCGCCCTTTACCGCTAGAATAAGCCAAACTAAAGCGCTTTACAGTACATAGATGTACAATTTATGCAATAAATACAATTAATATATATATATTAAATAATGCATGAATCAATACAATTTTGAGGAATTTGCAGGATATGCCTTATCAGGCGCTAAATACTAATCCTATGCCACCTGGTCAATATCTCCCTATATTTATGTGTATGCCTGTGTGTGTGCTGGAGATGTATGTGTGTGTGCTGGAGATGTATTGTGTTCTGTTTGTAGTGGAACCGTGCTTCCAACGGCATCTTTTATAGTGCTTCTTCCCTCATTTCATTCTGCCTCTTAATAAAAGTATTATGTGTATTTATTGCATGGATTTGTAATAAACAATACATAAAATGTTTTCAGCTGGCTGTGGATGATTTTAGAGGTAGAAAAAAGGGTTCAAGAGAAAGAAATATATATCCATAAGTGAATATGTACAGTATGAAATGTAACCTTGATGAATTCATTGATATAACAACTTCCACTCATGGTATGTAGCTACTCCACCAGGTTAGAGGTTTACACGGCGAGATACACTTTACATGCGTCACAGTCGGTAAAATCATATCCAATAATAGAAGGCCGACCAGTGGCTTCTTATGTTATAGGAGTAGGTATGTAGCAAAATCAGTTCAGACAAAACTGTCATTTCAACCTGCTTATCTAACAGTTCGCTGTCGTTGTCGTCATCTTCAAAGGACAGCAGTATCATATGTAGATTTTGTTTTTGGTGCTGCTTCATGCTTGAAGAAAGAAAAACAATTTCATTTCCTAATCGTAACAACATATATCGTATTCTGTACATTTGATGTCAAGAAAAAATAGTATATTGCCCACCCATCATATAATTTATATCTCATTCGCACAGAAAATATGATGAAATCCCTGAGAGTAAACTACTCAAGATTGATCTAATCTCAAGACTCTTCGTTATGGGAAAGAGCATACAAACAAAGACATACAGCTCTAATGCTAAATGTAAATAGTGGTACCGTCCACGATAGAGTAGAAAAGCATTGAAAGAATGGATATGGGGGTTTTAAACTTACAAATTAAAGGGGCATACGACGGTTCCAGCAGAACAGACACATCTATCCAGTTGAAACCTCGGTTCCAGAAGAACAAACACATCTATCCAGTTGAAACCCCTTTCACTAACGCTGCCAACATGTTGACGTGCCCGACCGTATCTTAACTATTTATCGTGAATAACTGGAAGGTGACGATGTTTTAAATTTATTGTTATGTTAAATATACTGATATAGATGTGTTGAACACTATCGAGTTATTGACGTATTGGGGAGTAGAACATTTACCGTAAGTAGTTGAATAATTAAATACCCTATAGAGGCTAGTGTTGGTGGCGTTTGTTTATGTGTTAGTGTGATTTACCAGCGTGGTGGGTATCGGGTGAAAAGCAGTACAGAGCTTACAATGTATTGACCAGGTGGTGGCATGTTTCTCAGGAAGGAGTTGTTCGTCTTGGTTTTGAGTTAATTGAAACAGTGAACATGTTCAACAAAAAGGCAGCTACGTAAGTATATTGACAGTATTAACTTGATTTCCTTGGATGTGTAGTGGGAACAGTAATTACTTGATTTCCTAGTATATGTAGCGAGATCAACAGTGATTTGGTGGCACTCAAGCTTTACTTGCTAGTCCCATATATATATACTGCACTCGTGCTCAAATTAAATGTACTCATAATACAATGTTTTCGCACTGTTATATATTGTACTGGTACATAATTTACTCATACTTAATTATACCGAAGTACTGCACTTGTACTCATGTTACTGTGTCGTGCTAAAATAACTATACTCGTTCTCATATATACTGTGTCATGCTAAAATATACCGCACTCGTACTCTTATATACTGTACTCGTCCATTTATATAAATTATTGTTATCATGTACTGTAACCGTACTTATACATGAATATACGTATTTGTTACCATATATAATTTACTCTTCCTTATATATCAAGTATTATTATCATGTACTGTACTCGTACTTATATATAAAGTATTGATATCATGTACTGTACTCGTACTTATATGTAAAGTATTGTTATCATGTACTGTACTCGTACTTATATACAAAGTATTGTTATCATGTACTGTACTCGTACTTATATATAAAGTATTGTTATCATGTACTGTACTCGTCCTGATATATAAAGTATTGTTATCATGTACTGTACTCGTACTTATATATACAGTATTGTTATCATGTACGGTACTCGTACTTATATATACAGTATTGTTATCATGAACTGTACTCGTACTTATATGTAAAGTATTGTTAGCATGTACTGTACTCGTACGTATACATGTATACAAGTATTTGTTACCATATATAATTTACTCTTCCTTATATATCAAGTATTATTATCATGTACTGTTCTCGTACTTATATATACAGTATTATTTTCATGTACTGTACTCGTCCTGATATATAAAGTATTGTTAACATGTACGGTACTCGTATTTATATATACAGTACTGTTATCATGGGGGGTACTCGTACTTATATACAAAGTATTGTTATCATGAACGGTACTCGTACTTATTTATACTGTACTGTTATCATGTACGGGACTCGTACTTATATATACAGTATTAATATCATGTACGGTACTCCTACTTATATATACAGTATTGTTTGGATGTACTGTACTCGGACTTATGTATAAAGTATTGTTATGATGTACTGTACTCGTACCTATGTATAAAGTATTGTTATCATGTACTATACTCGTACTTATATATAAAGTATTGCTATCATGTACTGTACTCGTACTTATATATACAGTATTATTTTCATGTACTGTACTCGTACTTATATACAAAGTATTGTTATCATGTACTGTACTCGTACTGATATATAAAGTATTGTTAACATGTACGGTACTCGTACTTATATATACAGTACTGTTATCATGTACTGTACTCGAACTTATATATAAAGTATTGTTATCATGTACTGTACTCGTACTTATACATGTATACAAGTATTTGTTACCATATATACTGTACTCGTCTTCATTATGTTCTGTACTCGTACACAATTACTGTATTAGTCCTCACGATATAATTTGAGGCATTACAGCATACCTGAAATACCATTAGTCCATAAAGATCATATAAAAAACCCGAGAAAAATGGAAATACCTATGTATTTCAAGACGTGTAGAAGCAAACTTAATTGAAAAACTTTGAGTTAATTAGTGTTAAGCGTACAATGCTGTACACATTACATATTTATGATTTACATATTTATGTACTTTAGGATTGGATAATTTAAAACGTCAAAGGTATTAGTTTGTCGTGCAGTCAGATTATCAAAAGGAGATCTAGAACTAAAGAAAACCAAGACTTATATTTTATCAGTGGGCAGATCAATGTCGACTGCAGTTTACATGTTATGAAAAACATATTTAATGCTATTCACGCTGTTCTCAATAATGAACAGCGTTTACAAATCAAGTTTGACGGAGCAAGGCTAATACCCGTGCACGCTATACCGTGTATATATCATGTGTATATATAATCTGGGGAAAGAAATCTCCAACAAGTCATCCCGACACTCTTTTATTTGTGGGATTGCATTTAAATTATACAGTTCACAATCAATCTGATATTGCAAACATTTCAGATTTTAAGTCCGAATGGTTGTCAATCATAGTTGTTTACCACATCACAGTATATACTGCTTAGATACATGTTGAAGGCTATGTAACCCACAGAGGCGATATATTTTATAAACTATTGGTTTCCATTCATGAATATATCATGTATGTAAGATGATTATTTCTTTATACTGTGTTTGCCATTTCTTCATGTTTGATTATTGTTTTTTAATTTTATTTTGTTCTTTGTTATATTTTGATTCTCTTAGAAAAATGTTTAGTTTCCTCAATATGTAAGAAGATGATTGTTTTTCATATTGAAAAACAAGCTCCAGTTTATAATATGTTAAATGACACCTACATATTTACATCGTGTAATAACTGAATCTATACAGGATAGCGGTCCGTCTATTGCAGTCCTTCATACATCTGTGTGTTATAAAACCTGTAAATATTTATTATGTTAAAGTATGACTTGTTGTGCTACATTTATCCGGAACGGTTATATGAATAATAATTATTTTGTATTTTAGCCGTACCCTCTTTTCAAACGCCATGATTTGGTATATTTTTTTTTATATATGGGACGGTACTGACACGTGTTGTCCGCGTGGGTAGTTAATCTGGGTATTCATAAATTAAGATTATAAGTAACTTTGTTCACTATACGGAGATTTAAGTGCATCAGTGCATTGTACTGATCAAGATAACTAATAATAGAACTGAGAATTAAACAAATGGCTTGTAATCAACTCTGAACCATTCCACAGATTTTGTCACGTGTTATATCCGATAATTGGATAGAAACGGGACATACCAAGCACAAGTCTTAATCTAAGTTACTCCAGTGTATAATTAATATGTAACTTAAGACTAGAGCATTCAGATAGCCTTCCTGGACTGTATTTTATCACGTACTTATAGTAATTACACATAAATGAAAGGACCATTATAATATTTGCTAAACTATTCATTCTATTTATTTACATTTTGTTAGAGTAGTTATGCTTTATTGAGTTATTTCGACCAGTTTTTTGAACAGCAAATTAAGTCTTGACAGCAATGACATTGATGACGTCACAATAGAGATTGATGGCGTTACAATAGCAAGTGTTGTTATAGTCTCATAACAATATTTGCCTTCTCAATGTATTGCAATGGAAGGATGCAAAGCGAATGTAAATATAACAATTTAAGATTCAATTTAATATCGGTAGCGTTTCTGTAACTATCTATTAGCAAATGTCATTGTCGTGCACCGGGCAAGGAGCCAGGCACTTCAAAATGGTGGCAATTGGGAGAACGATATATGCTTTCAAGCTCCAATTTTCTTAAATGTCACGCCTTACTTGGCTGTATGTATTGTGGCTTTTGAATGCCATCAACCCTGAACGCAACCAGACCCGCTGTCGGTACAGGAAGGATTGAAAATGAATGTATTTGTGATATAAAGTTGGAATTGGTCGTGCTTTTGAAATAAAAAGTATGTTTGTGCCTTTTGCGACCCTTGCAGTGCTCATTTGCCACAGACGCCTTCTCATATCTTGGTGTTCGACTGTGATAAAGATTTCAAACTTGAACGATTTGTAAAATAATTTCTAGATAAACAAAGAGAGGGAAACCCCCTAAAGCGCATATAAACCCGTCATAACGGTATTAATGTAACTTTTGGACTAAACAGATATTTCATTCCAAACTAGTACTTCGTGTAACCGTACCAGAACAAACTCCAGCTATACGGTGACAGTAAACCGCGGGACCGATAGTCCACCAACAGAGTCTACCAACCTCTGACGTAAAAGAATCGTTAGGAATACGAAGCACCTATTTATAAGTATAGCAAGTCGATGTAGAGAGCAAAACAAATATACAGTTTAATTCACTATATTCACTATATTCACTATATGGTTCTTTCATCCATTCAGGGTTCACCAATGGCACCAAAGGCAAAACTAAATTTTGAACATCTAATTCACCACATATGTTTTTAGGCGACAGTGGTAGCATCGGTAGTCTGCTTCTCTGTCGTCCATCATTACTAGCTAGATTTGTAACAGAGTTTAAGACTTAATTCAAGTATTTATGATTCACAAATCCATTGTAAATATAAGCATGCTGCCCCATGAATTATGTATATTGCATATGAATAACCCGGCAGATACGATTATACTTAAAAATGTATATCCGATTTGAATGCGTATCCAATTTAGTCATAGTTCCCTCCATACCCGAATCTGTCCACTTCATCACCCAAATGTGTCGTCTCCCTACCCTATATGTTCCGAGTTTACTCCGTCGATAAACTGTCAACATATTCCAGGTTTACTCCGCCAGCAAACTGTTTCCTTATTTTTTAAATAAGTGATATATTACAGGAAAAAATCAGTTGAACCGTGACACAACAGTGCGATGGACCGGAAACTAGCCATCTACCGGCTTAATTTTTACTGATAGTGGTCAAGATATGAGTACATTTTATACGATCAAACCTGTCACAAGCGATAATTGAAGGGAACTTGGAACAATTGAGAAATTTAGTCACTCAGTATAGCTTCCGAATCAGGACTAGTTAATTCTCTTTGTATAAATTATATGCATGCATGCTCTCTATACTACCTCTTCCAGGTCTGCATTATGATTTTGAATCATCTTTGTCAAGTAAATGAACATAAACCATCCTGTAATGGTTAACTTAATGACTCATTCACCACTTAATAGTCACATCAATTACCCTAACCATTAACTTAACGTTAGGTAAACTAGCTTAAACCACGCCTGTATGGCCTGGTAAAGGGTTTCTAAAACACATCCTCATCGTCAAGTAAATGACTCTAAACCATCCTCTTTTATGATGATGTGATATGTATATAAAGTTTATGATATCATTCTGTTACAGGGACTCCCATCGGCTGACACCTAACTACAGTTTATGATATCAATCTGTTACAGGGACACCCATCGGCTGACACCTAACTACAGTTTATGATATAAATCTGTTACAGGGACACCCATCGGCTAACACANCCCCTCCCCCAGGAAATTTGGAAAAACCCCCAGATAGGTCTCTGGATGCGCCACTGTAACACCTAACTACAGTTTATGATATCAATCTGTTACAGGGACTCCCATCGGCTGACACCTAACTACATGCCCAGCAGGAGCATCACGCCAAACAAAAACGACGAAAAGTGAGTCAAACAATGGGTTGTTAGTAGATCAAACGACAACCCTAGCTAGCAGTATCTGTCGGTCAACATTATCCTTCCATCCGTCCGCCACTCACTGCCTGTCTGTCCGTCTATCCACTCGCTATCTTTCTGTGCATCTATCTATCCATTCACTAAACCTTTGTCCATTTCCACAACACACCCGTTAGCAAATCCATCTATTAACTTACTAACCATCTGTTCACCCGTTCACATATTACCTTAACATATTTCGTGGCAGTAGTTTTACGATATAAATGTTCGTAATCTGCTGACGTAAAATAAAACTATGGTAGTCCTATTTCTTGGCAAAACACTGTACGTTTAAGTGTCAGTTTACGGTATTGATGTACTTGCACATGTATCACAATATACTTGGTGTTTGTATCACGTGTTGTGTCACATGACGTACTTGTACATGTATCACAATATACTTGTTGTTTTATTACGTGTTGTGTCACATGATATACTTGTACATGTTTAACTGTACGCTCTGTATCTGTAGATGGAACCAAGCGCAACACGATCTTATGGTCAAGGTGGGTCAGATGGAGAAGGAGGTAAAGGCTCGAAAGGAGGCAGAGGAAAGGTACCAGAATATTATCTAATACTGCCAGCAGGAAAATAGATCGAAAAGTTGGTGAATCTGTCTCTGACATTGTGGTATGTCAATACCGCTGGTCATCTGAGCGACACCTGTAATTCAGTTAAATGTCAATGTCGGAGGTAGTCCGGACATCATTTGATACTGTAGGGCGGCCAGTGCCAAGGATTATCCGAACACATTTTAATGTTGTTGTTATGTAAATATCAAAGATGATCAGAACATTCTCCTATGATGTTGTAGGTAGGATGAAGGTAGGGGCCATCTGTCTACTAGTTTTATCTTTACATTGCATTTTTTTTTTACATTTTACCGTCCTATCGGATGATATTAGGACACCCTGTGACCAAGACGAAGCACAGCAAATTTTCCAATGTACTACATATCATGAAATTCGTATTTCAAGGTTTCATAGCTTAAAGGCCCGAACTTACAATTGTCATTGTGTGAAGGTATACAATGCAGGGTAAAAGTATCCCTTTATTTTATTCAGGTACAAGGATACACTGGTCAAGATGGAACGGCTCCAGATGGCTCTCCAGGAAAAGAGTAATATAATGGACGCTGAGACTCGGGAGAGAGAGGCAGCCGAAGAAAGGTGATCATGCAATACCATTGGGGTGAAGCGGATATGATAAATTAACGGAACGGCCATTATTATACGCTCTAATCTACCATCCATGTAACACTAGCTTTATCATCTATAAACCATTCTTTCCATAAACGCTAGGAATTGTTCAGTGTCTTATGTTAATAACAGTTTGAACAGTGTGAGAGAATACCAATATATAAATATTGATCTGTAAATGTTGTAATTAGTGTGATGGTGGACAGCGTGCAGGTATGTTACCTTACATGAATTGATTCCAATATATCGAAAGTGGAGTAAGTATATCTAAATTACTCAATATGTCTGTCATCAGGTGCGAAACGTTACATAAGACCATAGACAAGCTGGAGGAATATCTGAGAAAGAAGAGCTCTCAGGAATACACTAGAGTGGGAAAGTCCGAGACAGACAGGTAAGGTATAGGTCCCAGAGCCAGACAGGTAAGGTAAAGGTCTCAGAGACAGACAGGTAAGGTATAGGTCTCAGAGACAGACAGTTAAGGTATAGGTCTCAGAGACAGACAGGTAAGGTATAGGTCTCGGAGACAGACAGGTAAGGTATAGGTCTCAGAGACAAACAGGTAAGGTATAGGTCTCAGAGACAGACAGGTAAGGTATAGGTCTCATAGACAGACAGGTAAGGTATAGGTCTCAGAGAGACAGACAGGTAAGGTATAAGTCTCAGAGACAGACAGGTAAGGTATAGGTCTCAGAGACAGACAAGTAAGGTATAGGTCTCAGAGACAGACAGGTAAGATATAGGTCTCAGAGACAGACAGGTAAGGTATAGGTCTCAGAGACAGACATATAAGGTATAGGTCTCATAGACAGACAGATAAGGTAAAGGTCTCAGAGACAGACAGGTAAGGTATAGGTCTCAGAGACAGACAGGTAAGGTATAGATCCCATAGACAGACAGATAAGGTATAGGTCTCAGAGACAGACAGGTAAGGTATAGGTCTCATAGACAGACAGGTAATGTATAGGTCTCATAGACAGACAGGTAAGGTATAGGTCTCAGAGACAGACAGGTAAGGGATAGGTCTCATAGACAGACAGGAAATGTATAGCTCTCATAGACAGACAGGTAAGGTATTGGTCTCAGAGACAGACAAGTAATGTATAGGTCTCAGAGTTAATTGTCCGAGACAGACAGATAAGGTATAGGTCTCAGAGTCAGACAGGTAAGGTATAGGTCTCATAGACAGACAGGTAATGTATAAATCTCAGAGACAGACAGGTAAGGTATAGGTCTCATAGACAGACAGATAAGGTAAAGGTCTCATAGACAGACAGGTAAGGTAAAGGTCTCAGAGACAGACAGGTAAGGTATAGATCCCATAGACAGACAGATAAGGTATAGGTCTCAGAGACAGACAAGTAATGTATAGGTCTCAGAGTTAATTGTCCGAGACAGACAGATAAGGTATAGGTCTCAGAGACAGACAGGTAAGGTATAGGTCTCAGAGACAGACAGGTAAGGTATTGGTCTCAGAGACAGACAAGTAAGGTATACGTCTCAGAGACAGACAGGTAAGGTATTGGTCTCAGAGACAGACAGATAAGGTATAGGTCTCAGAGACAGACAGATAAGATATAGGTCTCAGTGTTAATTGACCTTTGGATCAGTGATCGAAATATAGTTGTTAATATAAAACCGTTTAAAAGGTCACGAATCACAACTTTTGGATACAAAAGACAATATAGTCTTAAACTATGTATGTTTCGTGTAAATATGCAAGAATGTATCGCGGGTAAAATGTTACAGTCGTCCCCGGGGACTGATAGTGCACCAGTAACTCACCTTGGGACGTGAAGTAAAAGTTAGGTTAGAAAAACGAAGAAGGAAACAATAGTATGTCGATTCAGAAGTCAAAGAGAGTAAAAGAAAATCTGCCCAATATAGCATTATGAAGTATGAATAATAAAGTATCATGAAATAACGCCATATTTACTAATACAATAATTTGATAATTAATTAATTCACGAGAATAAAACTTTTTTTAACATATATATATATGCCTCTGGTATATGCATAGGCACTACGGTCCTGACGTTCCTATAGTTAATGCTGTCCCACTCAGAAAGATCAAAAAGGGCGAGAAGGACTATAATTAATACCATGAACATTTATGGGGAAATAGATTACCAATAAATGATGACCAAAGTAGTCCAACGATGACGCACTTCACCTGTAATACACCTATATTGTAGCGTAACGAAGTCCCTTGCTGACGTAATCGGCCTGGAAAACGAACTAAAGAGTAAGACAAAGCATCTGGAGAAAGCGGACCTAGCGAGGCGGAGGTACAAAGAACGGTGAGTTTTACGTCCTAGAGAAAGCGGACCTAGCGAGGCGGAGGTACAAAGAACGGTGAGTTTTACGTCCTAGAGAAAGCGGACCTAGCGAGGCGGAGGTACAAAGAACGGTGAGTTTTACGTCCTAGAGAAAGCGGACCTAGCGAGGCGGAGGTACAAAGAACGGTGAGTTTTACGTCCTAGAGAAAGCGGACCTAGCGAGGCGGAGGTACAAAGAACGGTGAGTTTTACGTCCTAGAGAAAGCGGACCTAGCGAGGCGGAGGTACAAAGAACGGTGAGTTTTACGTCCTAGAGAAAGCGGACCTAGCGAGGCGGAGGTACAAAGAACGGTGAGTTTTACGTCCTAGAGAAAGCGGACCTAGCGAGGCGGAGGTACAAAGAACGGTGAGTGAAAGCGGACCTAGCGAGGCGGAGCTACAAAGACGGTGAGTTTTTCGTCCTAGAGAATGACAACCTAGCAAGATTATTGAAAATGAACGTCATTTGGTCTCATAAAGATAGTGTTGGTCTGAGTAACAGAGGTGCATAAAAATCATAATGAGGTAAATGAATCTTAAGAATATATATCTATCTTGTGAGGCGGATATACGAGGGTGCAATGAGTCATGCTAGAGAAAAGTCAACCTAACGAGGAGGAGATATTATATAACGTAGCGAGAGATGAGTGGCAAAAGCGATCGATTGAATATAAGATATAAGATACAATTACCTTTGCAAGTCTGGTGTTTTGCCTAACTGAATGAGGCGGCTAAAGGTACACAGTTAGTACCAATTATGTTTAGAATTTAGTTTTAAAGGATTTTAAACAATCGATATCACGATTCTGTAGGTGTACGCAGCTCCAGAAGAAGCTTTCTGATAACGGCCTAGTGACGGACGACGGTTGGAAATCTGACGAGGAGGACGGCATCGCGGAGGAGCTCGATTTCTAAATGATAAGCTGTACATGAATGTGTTAAACCTCTGTGGCTACAGAAGCTGCGGTTAGATATTTGATTCACACAGTTGTCATAGTGCAAGGGTACAGTACGAACTGTGGGATTTGCATGATGCGGGTTCTTACCTACTGTCGTATGGGTGAGAGAGTTGGTGATATACAGCGTGAATGTGATGGTTACACATGTTAACAGGGTAGCTTACTTAAACAAATGGTAGAGATCTAGAGGGGCCGATGTTTGCGATGGATACATTTGCACTGTTCTATAATGTCTATATAAAGTAGTAGTGTGATACCTAGATGTTTTGTAGCGTCCACGTGTCTTATTGACAGTGACCAGATATATCATAATGTCCAAATGTTTTATAATGTCAAGATGTTTGTAATGCCCAGATGTTTAAAGTGACAAGACGTTCACTAATGTCAAGATGTTTCAAAGTGTCTTAATATTTTATAATGACAAATATGTAAAAGTGACAACATGTTCCCTAATGTCTAGATGTTTCATAATGTCTAAATGTTTTATAATGTCTCAATGTTTTCTAATATACAGATGTTTTAATTGACAAAATGTTCCCTTATGTCTAGATGTTTCATAATGTCTAGATGTTTCGTAATGTCTCAATGTTTTATAATGCCCAGATGTTTAAAGTGACAAGATGATCCCTGAAGTCTAGATGTTTTAAAAAGTTATGTCCGAACGTTTTGTACTGCCAAAGATGTTTTGTCGACGATCTTGTAGTTTTAAAAACTTATACCTTAAGTCGTTAAAACATAATATGTTCAAATAGCTTTTTTAGAGAAACATCTACCACAAATACGTTTTTCTTTAAGTTAACATTTTAATGCCTATCGATGTAATTGCAATATTGAATATCATGATTTTGGAAATGTTTTTTCAAGAAAGGTTTTCAATAACTTGTCGCTATTAATTAGGTTTCTATGGACAAAAAGACCCAAGTACCAACATTTTCAATTTTATGTATCAGATGTGACGCACTGCCAATAAACGTTTTGTGATGCCTATGTTTCATACAATATTGGGACTTAATTACATATACAATACTGTCCTGAAATGCCCAGATGTGATGCCTTAAAATGCTCTGATATCTTGTAATGCTCTGATGTCTTTTAATGTTCATATGAATTGTAATGCCCGGATGTCTTGTAACGTTCGGATACCTTGTAATGCCCGGATGTCTGTCTTGTAAGGTTCGGATACCTTGTAATGCTCGGATGTCTTGTAACGTTCGGATACCTTGTAATGCCCAGATGTCTTGTAATGCCCGGGTGTCTTGTAACGTTCGGACACCTTGTAATGCCTGGATGTCTTGTAACGTTCGGAAACCTTGTGATACCAGGATCCTGTTCAGGAAGCCGTATTGTGACAATTTTTCATCAGACGGTCGGCCTGAATCCCTGTACAATGATATTATTTACTTACTTCTGACAATAAGCTATTCCGTCTATGGAGATCTGGGATCCATTATATGAATGTGTGCTTAATTTAATGCAAATGTATTGTTTTTTTCTTATTATGACTTTCAGTTTTTGAATTCACCTTTTCCCCTCTAATCAATTTTTTATCTTTAGTCAGCAGCAGATTTGATTTCAGGTACTAATTTTTAAGCTGAATTTCTCGCATACATTTATGTTAACTTGAATCTGCATCAAACCCATTCAATACATTACAAAATATGTACCGTATGTATGTATATATTTGAACGAAATTAATTAAATACATGTAAAGACACAAAACGAAAAAGACGTTTTCTAGTTGACGTATTTTATTGAATAAAGTCAGTAATAATTGAACATTTTTTTTACTTTCTTTTTCTATACCATAAAATACTATAAGACACCTTCATGCCCAGGGGTGTAGTTCAAGTTCATTTATTTCCTTAAGCTTTACAGCTCATCAGTTGTGCATATATACAGTGCAACATAAAGTAAACAATTATACACCAACACGCATACACACCACTTCCGCACCTACTCCTAGAAGTGTAGAGAGATATCTTGCACCGCATTTTCGCTCTCTACAACCCTGGAATATGTCATGGCAAAATTAAAGGCACGAAGATAGCTGTTTGATTGGTCATACTTAGATATTGGTTAATTTTTTTTTTGCTAGTAACTGTGTTTTAAAATCATGTTTCGACACATTAGTCGAATTGAATATCAGAAAACCTAATTGTAAAATTAATTGGGTTTATCAAATAAGCATGAACTATGTAGTCTGGGTTTTAATTATATTTGGACTTGACAATATGTACAAAATGAAATTCTTGTTTTTGCAAATGTATGCTCAACGTGTTCATGATGTATTTATCCAAGAATTACGCAGTGCTTTTGATGCATCTTCCAAATGTTATTGGTACCAGCATCTTGTTGATACCTTTTGCGTCCAATTCTATCTGACTAAGCCCATTAATTTTAGGGTAAAAAAGATATTGAGTCTATTTCGCATGCAAGCACAGTCTTAACATAGAATCTGGGCGCTATATCAACATTCCAAGAGCTCAGAGAATATGTACAGTCTGCGATAAAAATGATGTCAAAGATGAAGTACATTTTGTACTTCTTTGTCCTGAATATTTTGATTTAAGAAAAACATACATCAAACAGTATTATTATCGACATCAAAGTGTCTATAAACTAATAGAATTATTTACCTGTAAAAGTGTTAAATCTTTAAAATAGACTGGGGAAATATTTGTTGCACGCTAAAATGAAAATTCTTCTAGCTCAGTAGTGATATTATATTAAAATATTATTTGAAACTACTTTGTTATAAGTGTACATGTATAATAATAGTTATTTAATATTCGTTAACAGCGCGTTAAATAATACTTTAATGGCATACCATAATTCTTTCTGTTCATGCATAAACAAACATATTTGAATGGAATTGTCCTGCGCCATCTTGTACATTACATATGAATTTTGAATAACTAATTATGTATATTTGTAACCTATATGCTGTATTGCATTTGGATATAATAAAATTTGAAACTTGGTCTCAGGTAAAAAAAGGTTCGAACTTGTCTTCTTGTCTCAACAACAAGGTGGCGCACATCGAGCCTTCAATTTCGCTATGACATATTCCAGGGGTGTAGAGAGCAAACGAGAGCGTAACCCCTGGATATCGAGGATATTTGCACTGCTAAACATAATGTAATTACTAATAGAATAATATTTGATGATAATGACATATTAATGTATTACTGACAAACACTAGATACAATTGACTTAATTCAGTACATTTGGTCGTTTTCTGCTAGCGATTCTTACATATTTAGCCAAATGAGTTATTTCTTTTTTATTTTCTGTTGATAACAACTTAATAAATTTATCGTACTTGTATGTCTGATAGAGAAAGGTTTACTAAATGAATTGCGTAAATCGGAATTAAGCGGACATTTAAGAACAAAATGAAACTCGTCTTCTGCATCATTAGAGGCACATAACGAACAAACCCTGTTCCTGTGTTCAATACCTTGGTATCTACCAGTTTCTACGTTAAGTTAATGAGAAGATGTTCTAATCCTTACTAATTCCTTCAAGTGTTAAATATCAATAAACTTTTTTAAGTAACTTTGTAAAACAAACTCATCTCAGAGATATTTGTATAGATTACATTTAGAAGAAGTGTTGATTTTTTCTGAACATTCCTGTTTGAAAATATCCGTGATTCTTTCTTTAAAAATTGACACTAAATCATCTTATATGTCTTTCAATTCCCAAAAATATCCCAATCCGATCCTAAACAATTCATTTTTTATACTCATAAGCCAATGATCTTCACAGTCCGACATTTCTTCATAACATGCCTGAAGTATACAATTATCTGTCTTACGCAATATTATCCAATACTTAAACATTCTTAACTTACGACTAACTTCCCTTGGATATGTTCCTAATTCAAAATATATCATACAATTTGGAGTAGTTTTACGAACACCAAGTAGATTTTTACAGAAACTTAAATGTAAATTTTCTATATCTGCTGTCTTATGACTTCCCCATATTTCAGACCCATAGTTTAAAATGCTAGCGACATATGTATCGAATACCGACAATATTGTTTCAAAATTAAAAAAATGTTTTATGACACACTTTCGTAATTGCAAATAATGCTACTTTTGTTGCGTTTTACGAAACTTTCCGTTATAATTAAATAAAACGCCAAGGTAATTAAACTCATCTATAATGTTTAAATTGGACCCCATTATATGTCCAGTATTCATTGTCACTCAATTTACCACCGTTTCAAAAAACAATCACGTTAGTCTTATCAGTATTCACTGTTAAATCTCACGTATTAGTATAATTTAAAAAAGAGAATCTAGCATCTTTTGAATACATTCAGGAATTTCGGCTACAATGACCATGTCACAAGCGTACAGTATAAGGAACAAATTGAGTAACTGTTTTTCAATAGATGGACAATTTTCTTCTAAAAAGTGTATTTCACAATCATTTACATATAAGGAAAATAAAATTGGCGACAAAATTTCTCCCTGGAATAATCCATTTTTACAAGTGAAGAAGTTTGACAATTTTCCTTCATACTACACACAACAATTAACTGTTTCATAGAAAGATCTTATTATAGTTAACATTTACCATCAATACCTTCTCTTAACAATTTGTACCATAATTCTTGACGATTCACGAGATCAAATGCCTTTAATCAACAGAACAGTAATACAGGCTTTTTCGTTTCATAAGTGTTTTTCTTATAAAAATGACATCAACAGTAGACATTTTCTTTTTAAAACCAAATTGAGCGTCAGAAATCTCACAATAAGTTCTGTCAAATTTATAAAGCCTTTGATTAAGAATAGACGTAAAAATCTTACCGAGGCAACTAACAAGAGATATACCACGGTATTTTTAAAAATTGGTACAATGCATCATTGGCTCCAAAAAGTAGGATAGTGACCTGAACCAAATACATTATTAAAAATCTTAATTAGGCAAGGTAACAACAATGTCCTACATTTGATAAAGGATTCGTTTATTCATATCTAAATTTCTGAAATCTGCAATAATTTCTTCTTCCTCATTTTCCCTAACTAATTCTGAAAATGAAGCAGGATAATTAGAACGGTCATTATAAGTTAAATGATTAAAAATATTCTCATTTATGCTAGGTAGCGAAGTTGCCAGATTTGAAAAATGATTAAAAAAGTCTTTCCCAGTTAATGTACTTTTCTTCAATTTCTTACGTTTTCCAAAATGTTTATAGAATGACTAAGGGTAGTGTTAAATAATTCATCTGGTTTCCATTATGCCCCTTATATTTTCTCTTGAGCCTAGTTTCATAAATCTTATAAACACGTTTTTTGTTGATTAATATATAATGCCGATTTTCTACTGTTTTTGAAAAATTAAAATATTTTAATGCAGCTTTGCAATCTTTATAACGCCTTCTACAAATCTCATTAAACCAAGGTTTATCTTCACACCGTTTCAGTTGCACCTTTTTAGAAATATTTCGATAAACAGTTTGCGAACAAAAAGGTTGAACAATATCATTTAACTTCACTGTGAATTTTTCAATACAATCATGAATACTTTTAGAACTAAAATCAACAGGGTCACACAAAGCGTACAGTTCATCAATATAATCAGGTATTGCTTTGTTAACATATACTTTACATGTGTTTCACTATTAATATTTCTTGTGTGTATGCTGTTTGACTTAATTTCTCATGGGTTATTTTCAGACAAAATAAAACAGGCAAATGATCTGAAAAAATATTAAAGATTCCAGATTAAAAATTAGTTATACTAGACAATGTCGATTCTTCTACTAACAAATAATCTATTAGACTAGGTCCTCTGTTACTATAAAATGTAATACTGCCATTAGGGTCCTTACAGATGAGGCTTTACACAGTGTTAACATCTGTCGACCGAACACTGCCATTAGGATCCTTACAGATGAGGCTTCCACAGTGTTAACAACCGTCGACCGAACACTGCCATTCGGGTCCTTACAGATGAGGCTTACACAGTGTTAACAACTGACGACCGAACACTGCCATTAGGTTCCTTACAGATGAGGCTTCCACAGTGTTAACAACCGTCGACCGAACACTGCCATTAGGGTCCCTTCAGATGAGGCTTTACACAGTGTCAACAACTGTCGACCGAACACTGCCATTAGGGTCCTTACAGATGAGGCTTCCACAGTGTTAACAACTGTCGACCGAACACTGCCATTAGGGTCCTTACAGATGAGGCTTACACAGTGTTAACAACTGTAGACCGAACTGGTTGACAGTCTTGTCTTCACTACTACGTATCTGCATAGTTGTATCCGGGATATATCTAACAGTATCAGGCATCCTGTTAATAATATGATCAGTAAGCCTGTCATTTCTGATAAAATCCCAATTGTCACCAGTCCTGCTCACTCTGGTAGGGTAGGGCAAATCCATCCGAGGGGTTTTCAAATTTGGTAAACCCGAGGCTTTAATGTATGTAATCTGAAATAATAGATAATGTTGATGTTATCATTTAGTTTTTCCACGGACTTAGATAACCTAATCTAACTCGTGGTTTTTCCCATGAAAAACCTTGAATCTGCATCTACATCTATATATAATAGCACAGAATGATATTAATTAGATATCTAAGTCCGTGATAATAGTTTGGTAATATAACGATTCACTTTAATCGTGTTTTGTTCATATATTGTTTTAATGAGTACTCTTGGAAAGCTGTTCTTTTTGGTTTGCCCCTTCTAGTACCTCTCAACAAAAATATTTTCCCGCACTTTTTTGTCACATGGTCATGAATATTTCGGACCGTTTCATGTTTCTACTTGACTCAATAACAACACAACGAGAGCTCCGAATGGATTGTTGATACTGCAGATCGACCATCTCGCCTGTTAACACTTTGAACACTGAGGTATAATATCAAGCTTTAAACCAAATGTCACGATGACCCATATTAACGATTGTTTACCTGTTGGTCTGATAAACGCGTAATAATCTATTTTAGACGTAATTATAGGTTTGATCATGCCAGCGCGGAAGAAGAGGGGGTCGGCAGCCACGGCCGTGGACGAAGTTTCACCACAGAAGAAAGCGAAGACGGACAATCAGAAGCAGACAGGCGGCCAGATGAGGATCGCGATCGAACACTGGTACGGAGGTCTACTTCGATGTGAAACTTACTTGTAGAATGGACAGATTTCGGGGTGTTTTTCATACTTAAATATATTCGGCCGTGTTGAGAAATGTGCTGAGAATGTGAAAAGAATTGAGGGGTCCGATAAAGGGAACAATTCCCCACTACACATATTTGACAAGATCATAATTTTTTTTGTGTGGACTCGGCATTTTTCTTCAAATAAATATACCAACATGCAGATAACGAACTCAGTGTGTTAATTTAATTAATATTGCCATAGAAGCCAAAGGACAAGGTCACTGTCGCCAAAGGTTAAGGTCACTGTTGTTAAAGGTCAAGGTCACTCTCTTTCAATAGAATTTCACATTTACTAAATGATTTAGGCTATACATTATCTGTTCTGATGCAACCTTTAGAACGAAGGATAGCTTAATTGAGTGCAAACTTGGTATGTGCATGGGTTTTCTAAGGAAGATTTTTTTAAAATTTTGTACCAGGTTCGACAAAGGTTAAGGTCACTTAATTGTGCATTAAAAAAACTGGTTTTCTTGTATCCTATAGTATACTTTAAGAATAAATAAATGGTTGCGTTATAAAGTCAACATTGCCCAGACTTGGTATTTGATTTGACATAGGGAAGAGGAAAAACGATATTGATTTTGGCATGTCCCATCAAGGTAGCACTAACTGAAAGATTCCACAATTTGAGTTGGTTTAGGATATCAAAGGACAAAAAATGTTACTAAATTTGGAAATGTTTATAACCAAACTTTGAGGTAACAACTTTCAACTTTAAACATGGGTTATAAGGGTGTTTTGAGAAACGAAACCCAGTATGAAATTGGAGAAAAAAAATATCAGCTTGCAGCCTGCAACTTTTTCAGGAAATTCTATCTTTCATACATATGCTGCACTTTTAGAACCGCGACATTTGTAAGGAACTTTTGTAAGTTTTTGCATTAATTGTTTCAGATAACCATACAACGACAAATTGGGGAAAATCACACACTTTTTCAATAGGGAATGGATAATTTTGATTTAAAAGAACATAAAAAGTACCCTGATAAAACTCCCTTTAAATACATAAGCAAACATTTATAGGCACAGCCTTCTCCTTGATCTATGATTGCATTCCAACCCATTGTGTCACAGAGGGTAAGAGATTGGTTTTCTGCAGTGCATTGCAATATAAGTGGTCATGAAATGTGAGAAAATTAAAATCTTAGGAAAGAGGGAAATAGTATGCTCAGAACATGTTGTAATCAATTGAATTTTTACTTTCGATTCAGCAAATCCTGACAGGTTTTCAAGCGCAGAGCTCTCGCCTTGGCTGAAGACCTGCGTGAATCATTTGGAGCAGATTTACAGGTGGATCTTAATCTGGACAAACCAAGACGAGGAACGTTTGAGTGCACTTTATTCAAAGAAGATGATTCTGGTAAGTTCGTTGTAATGCATCAACAGTACCTTCTAAATCAAAAACTAAAAAGGGGAAAAAAGACAAGTTAAACTAATATCATTATTAGAGTAACTTTTCTGAAATATCTCTTTAAGTACTATTCAGAAGAATTATTCCATAAAAATCACCTTTGGAGCGGTGTCCTTCCATCTGTCCTCTGTCCATCAACTTTTCCTTTGAACAACTTCTTTTGAATAACCAAAAGGCTTACACTCATGATATTTGGCTAGTAGTTTAAACTAGTTTCTGGGATGGAGCCCAAAAAGTCTGAACAAATTTGGCCCACTTTCAAGGTCACAGGGGTATTTTTTTTTAAAAGTTTCCATCAACTTCTGCAGAACCAAAATACCTAGAACCTGGATGTTTGGCTAGTAGCTTTGTTTGATTGAGGCCAACTAAGTTTGTGAAAAAAGTGACCTGCATTTAAGGTCACAGAGGTCAAATATGTCAAGAACTTCAAATGACTTCTTCTGACAATCCAGAAAGCTTACAATCATGAGACGTGGCTTTAGCCTCCTTAGATGGATTGTGACAGAGTTTGCGAAAAAAAAGTTACCTTGACCTATTTTCAAGGTCACAGGGGTCAAATATGTCATTGTTAATAGGGAGTTTGACTACCCAAGGTCAGGAGTGCTTCCCAAAACACGGCACCCCACATCAGTCATATTGAGTTACTTGAATTACGCGAGTGTCTGGATGTGGCTGGACCAATAACAGTTTCATATAATGCTGACCATTCCCTGGGCTGCCTTTAATAATGTTTATGTCCATGTGAAATGGCCAGATAGAATCAGTCCTGGTGTGGCCTTGGAAGGAGTAGGAGCTCAGATACTCAGGCCATGCTATGTTATGTGTTTCTCTTATAATAATCAACATTTATACTAAATTGAGTTGTTTAGTTGGTTATTCATCGATAGGGCAACATTGAGGGTAACACATATATATAAAGTTGTGATATTTTGCTGGTAGCTTCTTGGGATGGATCCTGACAAATTTGTGTGAAAAAAGACCTATACCTACATTCAAAGACACTTGTCAAATAAGTAAAATGAAAAATTACTTCTGAAGAACTGAAAGACCTAAATCATGATATTTGATTGATAGTGCCTTCCTGGGATAAAGTCTGACAAAGTTGCAAAATAAATTATCTTGACCTACTTTCAAGGTCACAGGGGTCTTGTGTGTTAAAACCTTTAAAATACATCTTAATGAACAAGAGACCTAGAGCGATGATACTTAGCCAGTAGCATTCTTTGATGAAGGGATATCAAGTTTGTTCTAATATATGGCCTTAAACCACTTTCTAGGTCACTGGCATGAAATACATTTTATTGTTTAAAAAAGTTCTTTTGAATAACAAGGAGGCCATATATGTGGCTTGTAGCTTGTTTGATTGGATGTCTACCTCTTCTGTTCTGCTGTTCAATGTGACAAAAGTCCAATGTGTTCAAACCTTTAAAAGGCTTATTCTGAATAACCAATAAACAAAGTTTTATTGTATTTGGCCTGTAACTTAATGGTGTAAAGCTCTATGAGTGTGGGATCAAACCGAGTGATCTGACCATCTTTGAATGAAGATGAAAGTAAGTTGCAGTTTTACAAAGAAGATTCATGAAAGTGCAGAGTAGTCTTACAACAAAGACCCATAATGAGTTTTGTAACAATAATTTAGACAGTTTAAATATATTTGACCTAGACCCACTTTGAAGGTGATAGAGGTGAGATGAATAACGGGTGAATAATACAGGCCCCTTGGTCCTTTTGTTCAGAATTTTTAAGAAAACAAAGCAAAAAAAAAAAAAGGCACCAAACTCAGGACCTTGATATTGAAAAACCTACACTTTATCAATGTTGTTACCCAGGCATTATCTTTATTATGATGCTAAAGGAAACTCTTCCTGTTCGAGTACCACCTATATGATGCTAAAGGAAACTCTTCCTGTTCGAGTACCACCTATATGATGCTAAAGGAAACTCTTCCTGTTCGAGTACCACCTATATGATGCTAAAGGAAACTCTTCCTGTTCGAGTACCACCTATATGATGCTAAAGGAAACTCTTCCTGTTCGAGTACCACCTATATGATGCTAAAGGAAACTCTTCCTGTTCGAGTACCACCTATATGATGCTAAAGGAAACTCTTCCTGTTCGAGTACCACCTATATGATGCTAAAGGAAACTCTTCCTGTTCGAGTACCACCTATATGATGCTAAAGGAAACTCTTCCTGTTCGAGTACCACCTATATGATGCTAAAGGAAACTCTTCCTGTTCGAGTACCACCTATATGATGCTAAAGGAAACTCTTCCTGTTCGAGTACCACCTATATGATGCTAAAGGAAACTCTTCCTGTTCGAGTACCACCTATATGGGTTGGAATCTGTACTGAACTACATTTTTATGTTGCATATGTGTCCGATCCACAGTAGCTAGCAATTATATTTAAATTCAAATGCATTAAAAACAGATAGTCAGAAATGTGTTGATTTACTTTTTCAGAAGTCCTGGTTTGGACAGGTATTAAGAAAGGACCACCAAGAAAATTGAAGTTTCCTGAGTCGGAAGAAGTTGTGAAGGCGATAAAAAAAGCTTTGCAGTAGAGTTTTTTATGTAGTTTCAATCACGTTTTCAGTCTCTTGAATTTTGTTTGTGTGTAGCATTTAAAAGGCTTGTTGTCTTGACTCTTTTTGTGAGGGAGTATGACCTGTTTTCAAGTGTGTATGACGGATAGTGTACACAAAGGGAGGTAACTCCTGTATACATCCTGATGATTTCCACTTCTTACAGAGTTGTACACGTGCACAAAATGGTGTAGAGTTAACAGGCCTAGTTGTAATAGATGTAATTAATTTTAGAAACAAACTACTACTGTAAAACCTGTTCTATCCAAATATCACTGTATTTATATACCAACTCAGACTTGATGGATTGGCACATCTCCCTATAAAAGTAAAGCCTGATTTGAGCAGGGCCATCACAAGTACAACTACTGGTTAACATCATATCTACAAGGTTTTTTTCTGATCCCATTTTGGAGAAAATGTATTACCATAAACTAAATGTTTGTTTTTTAAGATGTGGATGTTGGCTATGTTTCGTTCTAGGCTCAGTAGATATAGATATGTCCAGTCTGCTTAAGGATTAATATCCATTAATGTAGGTTCTACAATAACATTGCGTTGTCTAAACTTTTTTGGGAGAAGGGACCAAGCACTTCAAGTACCATTGTTTCAAACTATCCTATTCATCATGTTAGATTTACTTCTAATGCAATATATAATATGTGGAGTAGCATCTAACCGTAGGGCTAGGATGTGTTGTTAAGATTGTTTTCATGTTATGTATTTTTCTAGCAGTTTGGAATGAATCACATATAACACCTGCTTTGATATCTCTAGGAACTTCGTTATATTTTGTACATACCGTTTATACATGTTAGTGTGTAAATAACCTGTCATTGCAATTTGGCTGACCTGTATCATTTCTTTGTGGTCATCATGGGACAGGTTTTGTCTAGACTGGTGTTGCACAAGGTACAGTGATATTGTTGTAAACTTATAATGACCAAGCTGACTTCTTAAGTCATGAATTCATTAGGAATCACATTGGTGGAATTATCATTCTCAGTGGTTGACTGAGGGAGCACAGGTATTCCACTTTTGATCTGAAATGTGACAGGTGCTGTCCTTCCTGAAATGATAATCACAGTGCTAGAAGCAGAGGATAGGGAAGCGGCGTCATTTGGGCTGGTTCAGCTCTGCCTGTTGGGTAGCTGTAGTTATGACGGTGGCTGAGCAGACACCTATCGGTGCCTTATAAGTTTACAGCTTGCCAAAGAGGATGGATGTCTGTCTAGTTTTAATTTTATCATCTTGGGTTATGGACCCACAGCCTGAGCTGCCATTTCGAAGCATATGGATTTAGACAAAGTGACCTTTATTGGTTCCACATAGATGGGACAACTAAAACATTTCATTGCAGCCAGCAGCAACCTGAAGAGACTCTTGCCCTGATATTCAGAGATTTTTTTAGCTCACCTGGCCCAAAGTTCCATAAGGCCCAGGGTCAAGATATTTCCTCATTAAAATGACCTTGACATTGTTTCAAGGTCACATGGGTCAAATATTTAAAAAACTTTAAACAACAATATCCTTAGAACCATTTGGACTAGAGTCATGATACTTGGGTTTGTTATGTAGACCAGCAGTGCAAATATTTTTTCTAAATTACAGTAATGAGGTCAAAGGTCAACTTAAAGTGCTAGTTGGGGGTCAAACGTTAACATGGGTTAAAAGCTTTAACAATCTTCCGCTAAAGTTTCATAAGGCCCCAGGTCAGGATATTTGGCCAGTAGGTACATGGGATGGAGTGCTATCAAGTTTCCTCATTAAAATGTCCTTGACCTAGTTTCAAGGTCACAGGCCAGGGATCAAATGTGTTAAACACTTCAAACAATGATATCCTAAGAAGCATTAGGTCTAGAGTCATGATACTTGGGTATGTTATGTAGACCAGCTGTGAATCGTTTTCTTTATACAGTAATGAGGTAAAATGTCAACTTCAAGTGCTAGCCAGAGTCAAAGGTAAATGCGGATTAAAAGCTTTAAAATTAAAATTTGAAATTTGAAATAACAATATTTTAAAAAGCATTCAAGAGATGTTAAAAAATCTTGTGTTCTAGTTACCAAATTTGGTCTGAAGTTACCTACCAGGTATATGTCAGTTTCATGTAACAAAAGAAACAGGTGAGAGATACAGGTCCTGTGGGCCTCTTGTTAACTGACATGTTTATATCTAAATTTTATAATTATCATATGCTTATAATTAATATAAAGCATACTTGCAAGATTATTGTGAGCTAAATTTTGGTCTGGAGCTTGCTGTGATGAAGGGCCATCAGGTATGCTTGAATAATTGACGTTAAAGAAATGTCAATGTCATTTATTCAAACATATCTGATGGCAAATGTGTTTAAAACATTAAACCAACAATTGTTTACAAATCTACAAGGCCTGGTCTAGAGACATGATGTATAGTCTGCAGATATCTGTGTACAGATGGCTATCCATTTCAAATATTCACCACCTCAGACAAGATTGTACAAGATGACAGTAAAGGTCTTACAAACTGATAGTGACTTACTAAAACTGGAGGAGTGGGACACGCTTGACCAATAGCTTGCCCAAAGGTTATCAGAATAAATAGAAAACAGGTGGTTAATGAGGATAGTGGTTTAGCAACATCCTCAAGAGAAGCCATAGTTTTATAGTGACATTATTCACCAAGATGCCTCAGTATCCTCATAGTCAGAGCTCAGATCCAAACTGCTAGAAAAATACAGTTGTTAGTACAATCAGAACTTGTTCATAGACTTATACAAGGTTTATTTTATAGTGTAGAGTCATAAAATAATAAAGTAAAATCATATTGACAAGATGTATTCAATATACATTGTAGAAATATGGATTTCTATGTAAAAATATGTATTGTTAGCTTGATAGATTGTTGATAATGTATATTTTTTATCGATACAACAATGTAGAATTTTTAACAATGTGGATTCAATACAATTTTGATTTCTATTGATACAATGTAGTTAGATTGGCACTTTGTAGTGTGTAGACATTGTGGATGTATACAATTCAGAGTTATTAGTTACAATGTAGATATGTTGATTTATATCGTTTAGATATTGATAATGTAGATGTTGTTATTAGGTACCACCATATGTGTTCAAACATGTAGATAGGAGAGCAATAAGTGTTTGTATGTGTGAACAGGAGAATAAGTGTTCAAATGTGGGATCAGAGGAGAAATAAGTGTTCATATATGTGAACAGAGGAGAAAATAAGTGTTTGTGTGAACATAGGAGGAATAAGTGTTTGTGTGAACATAGGAGAAATAAGTGTTCATATATGTGAACAGAGGAGAGATAAGTGTTCATATATATGATAAGGGGAGAAATAAGGGTTCATATATATGATTAGGGGAGAAATAAGGGTTCATATATATGAACAGAGGAGAAATAAGTGTTTGTATGTGTGAGCAGAGGAGAAATAAGTGTTCATGATTGTGAACAAAGTGGAAATAAGATGTGTTCAAATGTTATAGGTGAGAGGGTTTGACAGGCCAAACAAACAGTAAACAGAGTAAGTGTTTTCTAAATGAAATTTGCCACAGTGTATTTTGGTATGGATCGATCATTTCACAGATATTCTTCATTTTATTAGCTCACCTGGCCCAAAGGGCCAAGTGAGCTTATGGCATGGTCCGGCGTCCGGCGTCAACTTTTTACTTTAAACAACTTCTTCTCAGTAACCAAAAGGCCTAGGGTTATGATATTTGGCCAGAAGCATGCTGGGATGAAGGGATACCAAGTTTGTTCAAATAAATGACCTTATTAATTTTCAAGGTAACAGGGGTCAAATATGTTAAAATCTTTAAGCAACTCGTTCTGAATAACCAAAAAGCCTAGGGTGATGAAATTTAGCCAGTAACATGCTGGGGTAAAAGGCTACCAAGTTTGTTCAAATAAATTACCTTGGCTTATATTCAAGGTCACAGGAGTCAAATATGTTAAAAATCTTGAAACAACTTCTTCTGAATAACCAAGAGGCCTAGGATAATGATATTTGGCCAGTAACATGCTGGAATAAAGGGCTACCAAGTTTGTTCAAATGAATGACCTTGAATCATATTCAAGGTCACTGGGGTCAAATATGTTGAAAACATTTAAACAACAACTTCTGAATAACCAAGAGGCCTAGGGTAATGATATTTGGCCAGTAACATGCTGGGATGAAGGGCTACCAAGTTTGTTCAAATAAATGACCTTATTAATTTTCAAGGTCACCGTGGTCAATATATGTTTAAATCTTTAAATGATTTGTTCTGTATAACCAAAAAGTCCAGGGTAATGATATTTTGCTAGAAGCATGCTGGGTTGGAAGACTATAAATTCTGTTCAACCTAATATCCTTGTTCGACATTCAAGGTCACGGGTGTCATATGTTTAAATATTTTAATAGTTTCTTATTAATCAAACACCAATATTCTGCCTGTAGTTGTATTTTAGTCCACTTTTAAGATAACAAGTGAGAAATTAATACCAGGTGAGTGATTCAGGCCCATTGGGCCTCTTGTCTGAAATAGGATAAGTACATTTAAGGGATAAGTACGGTATATTTATAAGATTCAAAAGGTTTATGGTGCTAATTTGATTATATTGACTACATTTGTGTGCAATTTCTGTTGCATTTTCACTGCCATTAAGTACCTTGTTTTACAAGTATTGTTTGATTTTTTGTGACAATTTCAAAACTGCATGTAGTGTAGACAATTTGATTCTAATAAAATTGATTTTTTAAATGTACTTGCTCTTTTCTTGCTTGTCGCATGTTCTCTTATCCCCATTTTCATTATTTCCAGGCCAAATGTCAACCCAGTTTTACAAAAAGTACATTCACCAATATGTCTAAAATGGCAAGGGTTTTTGTCTCGCCTGCGATGTATGTCTAGCTCCGTTTCTCTAAAAGTATAAGTGCTAGACCAACCAAACTTGGACCATACATGCATCTTCTATTCATGACCCATGGATTATAAACCATGCATGATATGTTGAATGTGGCCTACATTACGCGGTCCAGTGACTTTCACAGCATTTCTCAATATAAAGTTTTTGCGTTTAGCTGTGTGTTATATGCTGTATCTCAAACATTTAAAGTGTTAGACTGTAAGTTGGGATGATCATTACCATCTTGAGGGTTACAACATCAATGTTCTAACGGAATCAGACAACAAACATGGCCACAGTGTACTGTCTTCTGATTGGTCGAAATTCAGATATTGTTTGATTTCGCTAAAATTTTACATGTAGGTGTATTTTGTCACTGCCAACTAAGCCGCAACATCCGTTTTCTGATTAGACAAAATGGCCACCAGATACTGGCTTCTGATTGGTCGAAATTCAGTTATTGTTCGATTTTAATCAAATTTAGTAAGTACATGTATTTTGGCACTGCGAACTCGGTCGCAACATCCATTTTCTGATTTGACAAAATGGCTGCCTTATATTGTGTTATAATTGGTCGAAATTCAGTTGCTGTTTCGCTAAAAATCGGGATGTAAGTGTATTTTGCACTGTGAACTTAACCATGGCATCCGTTTTCTGATCTGACAAGATAGTCTTCGTATACTGGTATCTGCATGATTGGTCGAAATTCACATATATTTTGATTTTGCTCAAATTTAGTTTGTACATGTATTATGGCACTGCGACTTCAGTTCTCCTATTCACATTTGTTTTTCCGAATGCGGGGGTAGTTTGGGGAACATCTGTAATGGCCGGCTCCCATTACAATTAGCACTTGTTCCTTCTATACCTCCATGTTGATGTATCACCAAACTTGTTTATAAGATGTAAAATTCTGAACTTCGGCTCAAACTTCCAGTGCTCAACACATTGAATCTTATGCTTAAAGCGGGAACAGGGGAGACATCTAATTACGCGTAATTCTCGTCGACATTGGGGTAGCAGATTCCATTTTTACTGCAAACTTTGAAAAGGCCTAAAAACAAAGGGTTGGCAACGAGAAGACTTAAAATTGATGAAAAGCCCTGAAAAATTCAATTCATAAAAAAGAAACATATTCGGGATAAGTTAACTTTTAGATTTTTCGGAATGATTGTTTAGATAAAAGCAAATATTAAAATTGTCAAAGTTTTCATTGTCATTTGTCTTCTCATAAAGTTTCTTTTAATCTGTTGATAATTACTGAAGATAATGAACTGACACTTCAGCCTTCTTTTAACATCGGCTGTTAGATTGTCGATAATTACTGAAGATAATGAGCAGACACTGCATTTAAATTAATTCAGGGGCCACAACTCCAAAAACTAGGGTTGAATTATAACTGTTCTTAAACTTGCACAAGCTTTTATATAGTAGATGTTCACAAAAACAAAAAGACATCCATCAAAAGATATGGGTGATCACTGAGCTTTGCCGACCACTTGCCTAATGAGTGTTCAAAAATTATATATATCATTTTTAGAAGTACAGTGGGTGATTCCTTGTGGCCTGGTGAGCCATAAGTCATTGCCAATATATATGGGTCTCCTTTACTGTTATTTAAAATCACTAAAAAAAAAACCACTAGCCTTTAAAGACAATTTTATTAAAATTCTAAATTTTGTGACATTTTATGGGCTTCCTGGAGAATCCTCTTGATTGGTGTAAGGCTGGTCCCGCTCGAACATGATGACAAGTTCACAATGTGGTGTCTGTGGAAACATGTCTATAGGAACAGCTTTAACCGGTCGATAAGGCGGGCCCTTGTTACGTCGGGATGTCTGTCTGGTCAGACTATAAATAACATAAAAGGTATTCATGACAATTTATTAAGTAGATCCTGATCACTGACATTTATAGCCACCAGGAACAGATAGAGAACAAGAAGTAGATCCTGATCACTGACATTTATAGCCACCAGGAACAGATAGAGAACATGAAGTAGATCCTGATCACTGACATTTATAGCCACCAGGAACAGATAGAGAACATGAAGTAGATCCTGATCACTGACATTTATAGCCACCAGGAACAGATAGAGAACATGAAGTAGATCCTGATCACTGACATTTATAGCCACCAGGAACAGATAGAGAACATGAAGTAGATCCTGATCACTGACATTTATAGCCACCAGGAACAGATAGAGAACATGAAGTAGATCCTGATCACTGACATTTATAGCCACCAGGAACAGATAGAGAACATGAAGTAGATCCTGATCACTGACATTTATAGCCACCAGGAACAGATAGAGAACATGAAGTAGATCCTGATCACTGACATTTATAGCCACCAGGAACAGATAGAGAACATGAAGTAGATCCTGATCACTGACATTTATAGCCACCAGGAACAGATAGAGAACATGAAGTAGATCCTGATCACTGACATTTATAGCCACCAGGAACAGATAGAGAACATGAAGTAGATCCTGATCACTGACATTTATAGCCACCAGGAACAGATAGAGAACATGAAGTAGATCCTGATCACTGACATTTATAGCCACCAGGAACAGATAGAGAACATGAAGTAGATCCTGATCACTGACATTTATAGCCACCAGGAACAGATAGAGAACATGAAGTAGATCCTGATCACTGACATTTATAGCCACCAGGAACAGATAGAGAACATGAAGTAGATCCTGATCACTGACATTTATAGCCACCAGGAACAGATAGAGAACATGAAGTAGATCCTGATCACTGACATTTATAGCCACCAGGAACAGATAGAGAACATGAAGTAGATCCTGATCACTGACATTTATAGCCACCAGGAACAGATAGAGAACATGAAGTAGATCCTGATCACTGACATTTATAGCCACCAGGAACAGATAGAGAACATGAAGTAGATCCTGATCACTGACATTTATAGCCACCAGGAACAGATAGAGAACATGAAGTAGATCCTGATCACTGACATTTATAGCCACCAGGAACAGATAGAGAACATGAAGTAGATCCTGATCACTGACATTTATAGCCACCAGGAACAGATAGAGAACATGAAGTAGATCCTGATCACTGACATTTATAGCCACCAGGAACAGATAGAGAACATGAAGTAGATCCTGATCACTGACATTTATAGCCACCAGGAACAGATAGAGAACATGAAGTAGATCCTGATCACTGACATTTATAGCCACCAGGAACAGATAGAGAACATGAAGTAGATCCTGATCACTGACATTTATAGCCACCAGGAACAGATAGAGAACATGAAGTAGATCCTGATCACTGACATTTATAGCCACCAGGAACAGATAGAGAACATGAAGTAGATCCTGATCACTGACATTTATAGCCACCAGGAACAGATAGAGAACATGAAGTAGATCCTGATCACTGACATTTATAGCCACCAGGAACAGATAGAGAACATGAAGTAGATCCTGATCACTGACATTTATAGCCACCAGGAACAGATAGAGAACATGAAGTAGATCCTGATCACTGACATTTATAGCCACCAGGAACAGATAGAGAACATGAAGTAGATCCTGATCACTGACATTTATAGCCACCAGGAACAGATAGAGAACATGAAGTAGATCCTGATCACTGACATTTATAGCCACCAGGAACAGATAGAGAACATGAAGTAGATCCTGATCACTGACATTTATAGCCACCAGGAACAGATAGAGAACATGAAGTAGATCCTGATCACTGACATTTATAGCCACCAGGAACAGATAGAGAACATGAAGTAGATCCTGATCACTGACATTTATAGCCACCAGGAACAGATAGAGAACATGAAGTAGATCCTGATCACTGACATTTATAGCCACCAGGAACAGATAGAGAACATGAAGTAGATCCTGATCACTGACATTTATAGCCACCAGGAACAGATAGAGAACATGAAGTAGATCCTGATCACTGACATTTATAGCCACCAGGAACAGATAGAGAACATGAAGTAGATCCTGATCACTGACATTTATAGCCACCAGGAACAGATAGAGAACATGAAGTAGATCCTGATCACTGACATTTATAGCCACCAGGAACAGATAGAGAACATGAAGTAGATCCTGATCACTGACATTTATAGCCACCAGGAACAGATAGAGAACATGAAGTAGATCCTGATCACTGACATTTATAGCCACCAGGAACAGATAGAGAACATGAAGTAGATCCTGATCACTGACATTTATAGCCACCAGGAACAGATAGAGAACATGAAGTAGATCCTGATCACTGACATTTATAGCCACCAGGAACAGATAGAGAACATGAAGTAGATCCTGATCACTGACATTTATAGCCACCAGGAACAGATAGAGAACATGAAGTAGATCCTGATCACTGACATTTATAGCCACCAGGAACAGATAGAGAACATGAAGTAGATCCTGATCACTGACATTTATAGCCACCAGGAACAGATAGAGAACATGAAGTAGATCCTGATCACTGACATTTATAGCCACCAGGAACAGATAGAGAACATGAAGTAGATCCTGATCACTGACATTTATAGCCACCAGGAACAGATAGAGAACATGAAGTAGATCCTGATCACTGACATTTATAGCCACCAGGAACAGATAGAGAACATGAAGTAGATCCTGATCACTGACATTTATAGCCACCAGGAACAGATAGAGAACATGAAGTAGATCCTGATCACTGACATTTATAGCCACCAGGAACAGATAGAGAACATGAAGTAGATCCTGATCACTGACATTTATAGCCACCAGGAACAGATAGAGAACATGAAGTAGATCCTGATCACTGACATTTATAGCCACCAGGAACAGATAGAGAACATGAAGTAGATCCTGATCACTGACATTTATAGCCACCAGGAACAGATAGAGAACATGAAGTAGATCCTGATCACTGACATTTATAGCCACCAGGAACAGATAGAGAACATGAAGTAGATCCTGATCACTGACATTTATAGCCACCAGGAACAGATAGAGAACATGAAGTAGATCCTGATCACTGACATTTATAGCCACCAGGAACAGATAGAGAACATGAAGTAGATCCTGATCACTGACATTTATAGCCACCAGGAACAGATAGAGAACATGAAGTAGATCCTGATCACTGACATTTATAGCCACCAGGAACAGATAGAGAACATGAAGTAGATCCTGATCACTGACATTTATAGCCACCAGGAACAGATAGAGAACATGAAGTAGATCCTGATCACTGACATTTATAGCCACCAGGAACAGATAGAGAACATGAAGTAGATCCTGATCACTGACATTTATAGCCACCAGGAACAGATAGAGAACATGAAGTAGATCCTGATCACTGACATTTATAGCCACCAGGAACAGATAGAGAACATGAAGTAGATCCTGATCACTGACATTTATAGCCACCAGGAACAGATAGAGAACATGAAGTAGATCCTGATCACTGACATTTATAGCCACCAGGAACAGATAGAGAACATGAAGTAGATCCTGATCACTGACATTTATAGCCACCAGGAACAGATAGAGAACATGAAGTAGATCCTGATCACTGACATTTATAGCCACCAGGAACAGATAGAGAACATGAAGTAGATCCTGATCACTGACATTTATAGCCACCAGGAACAGATAGAGAACATGAAGTAGATCCTGATCACTGACATTTATAGCCACCAGGAACAGATAGAGAACATGAAGTAGATCCTGATCACTGACATTTATAGCCACCAGGAACAGATAGAGAACATGAAGTAGATCCTGATCACTGACATTTATAGCCACCAGGAACAGATAGAGAACATGAAGTAGATCCTGATCACTGACATTTATAGCCACCAGGAACAGATAGAGAACATGAAGTAGATCCTGATCACTGACATTTATAGCCACCAGGAACAGATAGAGAACATGAAGTAGATCCTGATCACTGACATTTATAGCCACCAGGAACAGATAGAGAACATGAAGTAGATCCTGATCACTGACATTTATAGCCACCAGGAACAGATAGAGAACATGAAGTAGATCCTGATCACTGACATTTATAGCCACCAGGAACAGATAGAGAACATGAAGTAGATCCTGATCACTGACATTTATAGCCACCAGGAACAGATAGAGAACAAGAAGTAGATCCTGTTCACTGATATTTTAACAATGCAGTACTTGGACACACTAACAGGCCATACAAATGAATCTCATCTCCTTTGATGTAAGACGAATTTTCCATAAAATTTAAATGACTGAGCTGCTTACTCTATAAAGTTGTTCATAGCAGCCTTGGGATTACAGGATACAAACACAACCTTGGTGAGATGGGGAGATCGTCGCAAGGCTTGGAACACACTCGATTCTGAAAGGAAAAAAACCAACACAAAATTGATCACTCTCAAAAAACTCTGTTACCCTTGAAGGTAAGAGCATAATGAACCCAGACTGATACTCTAGATTTGTAAAGCAACAAAATGTCCGTTCTATTTTAAACACCGTAGAAGCTTTTACAGTGGCATGAAAGGGTCCAGGTCCTCTAGAGTGGGTGAGATCTTTGTGTCACTACTGGAAGCATGTGTTTGTTAGTCTTTGAAAATTTGATTATTCAGCTTCCAGTTCAATTGTTATAACTTTGATATTTAATGTAAAATTAAACATCAAAATACTAAAAAAACTAAAAAAAACCTTTGGATTTATTGTACACAGAATTCAATAAAACAATGGTGATTTTACAATAAAAATGATCTATTTCCGAAGGAGGAAAGGTGCGAAACATATCCTGCAACATATTCAGCATTTGAACTTATTACTTTTCTTTCTCATACAAGGTAGCACCACAGGTTTGACTCTAGATCGAGTGTAAACTTACGTAGCCCCGGTCGAGGTGGATCCACCACCGCCACCACATCTGTTGAACGCAGTGACTTCATGGTGCGCTTGATCGCATCCTCAGCCTTGCTGCACACAAAATGAACGTTTTCGATATCTGCAACATCAACAGAAATACTATTACAAGTCAGGAAACTAAAAAAAGTTCCTATTCATATTAAAGATGATGTAAACCAACTCATTTTGTAAATAATTTGACCAGAAAAAAACAAGACAATCTACACCGTTTTTGTATAATTAAAACTTTGTTGTCTTTGGGTCACAATGATTGATGTTACTTGTTTAACCTAAGAAAATTGTACATAATTGAATTGAAGTGTAGCATAGGATACATCCAGATATATATTGTTGCCCTCAGGCCTGGTGAAATACTAGCAGCTTCCTACCGACTCGGCTAGGGAGACTTTCTCTTTAGCTCATTCAGTAGGGCATAACGTAAGTAAACCAGAGGTCCCGGATTCGACTCCAAGTGGAGGTAATGACAAAATAATAACCTCTGTTAAATATCATCAACATTAATCATAAATGTGATGACTTAAGAACACAAAGTAGGTAAATTTCTCCCCGACAGGTAGAGAGATTGAGTTTTTGGTAGGGAGATTTCCATTGAATATGTTATTTTACCAGAGTCAGAATTTTAAATGAGTTTGGATTGAAACAATCCTAAATAAGAGTTGTTCATGTACTTGTATCCAAACAGGGAAAAATCATTTATTGGTGTTTATAAACATGTATTTTCAACAAAGGAATTTTTAATACAACAAATTGCAGGGAGATTCTGATTCTTTAAAGGGAGTTTGATTTTTTCAAGGTAAAATATAGGGAGACTTCTATAAACAGGAGACATATCCCATGAATGGTTAAATACTGACAGGGGGCGATTATCTCTCCTGTTGTAAAGTTGGGTAAAAATGTACAAAACTTACCGTTAATCTTGGCGTTCTGTTTAGCATCATCAATTGCCTCCTGGCACATTTCTATGCCAATCACTCTTGATACTTTCTAAAACAAGATCAAATGATATAACAATAAAAAAACATTTCAATATTATAGACAGAATATACAATGACACGACACAGGTGTTTATATTAAATATACTATTTTTCACATTTAAGAACAACAATAAAAATGTAACTGCATCAAAACAGTTCAGGAATTAATAGTGTTATCTTTGACACCATATTCTAATGACGTCATGCTTGACAACAAGGCTGGGGGCCATTTTGAATGGGCTATTCAACATTGTGTTCCTCTTTTCTGCTTTTATTTGGTAAGATTTGCTTACCAACTAGTGATACCTATTTTCATGTGTTCATGTATAACTAACAAACTTCTGCAAGTAGATATTACTTGAAAATTTTCTCACAAGAATGGATATAAATTGTTATCAATCAACATAACTCGGATCATTTACTTCTGCCATATCACAAAAGTGAACAAGAGGCCCAGAGGGCCTGTATCGCTCACCTGGATATCTAAGCAATCATGGCAAAATATTCTCCAAATAAGATTCAAGGGAATGGGCCAGACCCCCAGGCTAATCCTTGTAGCATATCTGTATTAGAATTTTCATGCCCAGCAATTTTATGTATGGTTATGGGGTTTGGATCTCAACTGTTTCTAAGCTGTGACTCAGAAACTAGGTCCCTAGGGTTGTGGCAAGACCCAAGGATCAATTATAATATCATGACTGCATTTGTCTCTTTATGCCCAGCATTTGTATATATACTTTTGGGTTGGTGATCTCGACTGTTTCAAATTTATGACCCAGGGGTTAAGTCTGCAAGGGTGGGGCAGACCCCAAGGTCAATTCTTATATCATGACTGCATTCGTTTCTTTATGCCCAACAATTGAATACATGTACATGTATATAGTTTTGGGGTGGGGATCTCAATCGTTTCAAAGTTATGACCCATGGACTATGTCCCCAAGGGTGGGGCCAGATTCAAGTGCCATCCTGGAAGCATATGTGCATTCTTCTTTTTATACGCAGCAATTGCATATATGGTTATAGGGTGGGGATCTCAACTATTTTGAAGTAATAAACAATTTTTGGCCCCGCCCCTCAGCCCCCTTGGGGGTCAGGCCCACCATTTGTACAATTTTGAATCCCAACCACCGAGGGATGCTTCCAGTCAAGTTTAGTTAAATTCCAATCAGTGGTTAAGAAGAAGTCATTTGAAGAAATTGTTGACGCACGGACGACAGACGGACAACTGATGACGGACAACGGACGCCTCGGTATGGCATAAGCTCACCCTTATTATTTTCGAACCCGGTAAGCAAATAACAATGTGGGATGTCTCACATTATTTTACACTGTGGTAGGACCTAAAACAACCCATGATCTGGGAGTGATGAACTCATAAGGGACGACAAGAACTTAGCAGTATGATAATGACATCCTGACAGATCACCTTGGCAACACTGAGTCCGATGGTACCCGTACCACAGCAGATGTCAAGGACGGTTGTATCCGGAGAAACGTTACACCAGTCAGCTATCTGTGTGTACAGGACCTCTGCTGCAGCTGTATTCACTAAATGTAATGGAAAATACTAATGGTTTATCTATCAAGTTACATGCAACGGTGATATTTGTGATGAAAAGTTTTTTTTTTAAATTTGAACACAATAAAATGCATTTAATTTTGTGAAATACCAGCGCTGGTAAGTTAGTAGGCCGGATTTTTTTTACAGCATAGCTTTAAAATGCTTTTAGATGCTTTAGAACCTGGTGTTGTTAGGTCTTGCATGCTTAACAGTATAGGAACCCTAGCAGCCGTGACGTACGCATGTTTTACATGATATGAAGGTGGTTTTCAGGCCAAGATCTGAGTGGATATATCCACACATAAACATTATCTTTCTAAGATTCTTATTTTAGTTTATTATTAAAACTTCTAATATAAAACCTATTCTCAGCACTAACCTTGGAAGAAGGCTCCTGGGGATATCCTGAACTTCATGTCCAGCATCTCCTCCTGTATAAACTGTAAACATGTAATACATTAATTATACATCTCCTCCTGTATAAACTGTAAACATGTAATACACTAATTATACATATCCTCCTGTATAAACTGTAAACAAGTGATACATTAATTATACATATCCTCCTGTATAAACCGTAAACATGTAATACACTAATTATACATATCCTCCTGTATAAACTGTAAACATGTAATACATTAATTATACATCTCCTGTATAAACTGTAAACATGTAATACATTAATCATACATCTCCTCCTGTATAAACTTTAAACACGTAATACATTAATTATACATCTCCTCCTGTATAAACTGTAAACATGTAATACATTAATTAATTTTTGTACTTGCTGAACAAAATCTACATCAATCCATATGATGAATGTACAACAATTTTCCTATAATTTACTGATCGTGATAGCCGACCTGATCTGTACCACATATATAATCTGTACAAAGCTATTAACAAAAAGCTGGTTTATTTTGTGATTTAGTCGATGCCTATTTAGATATACATAAGCAAATATATCATCTGCCATGATTGGCACTGATACAATACAGCTATATTATAATAATTACAGACACTTTTCTAAGCTCAACATGATGATCTCATCTTTATATTTATCTTCTTAAAACTTGAAATTATTCACATCTGACAGAATTATCACCATCATTCCATATGTCTTACCTTCTCTCCCATAAGAAGCTCATAATCTGGAGGATTTGCTGGCCTGAGGAGAAGAGGATGATGAGAACATGTTACAATTGAATCAAATGATGTGAACCATGATTAAACAACAATCACTTTAGTTGATTACACATGTATAATGTGTCTAAAAGCCAATTTATTCTAAATGAAAGGTTTCCCTGATTCACTGACTGTAAATATTCACTTCCTGTAATTTGAATTTGATAAGTGTTATCCAAAACAACGAGTTTTAAAACTATGACTAAAATTTAGTATTGACCATATCTTTTTTCATAATGGCCAGTAACAATACTATTACATAATTACTGTTATTTATTGTAGGTAAACAATTTGTTGCAGATGCTTACCTATCATTATAGGTGTGGAAGAAAAGACTTGTTACTCCACAATCACGTCCTTCCCCCGTCGTAAAGTAGTCCTTCAGCTTTGTCTTTATACACTCTAGTTCCTCCTACATACAATACAGCGAAGAAATTGAGAATAAGTAATTATTTTTATCAATTTGATGAATACAATTATAACGGTAAATATACAATGACAAATTCAATATCGAAATGAAAATGAACCATAAAAGTTTTAATAAAATTCAATAGTTTCTTAGATGGTGAACATAAATGCAAATAAGAAAAGGTATTTGAAATGATCAGAAGAGTCCGTCTTTTACTCTTTCTAAGTCTTTTTCTGTATTACCAATACCTTAAGTGTTTATCTGGTATTTATTTGGAAATAATTTAATCTTGCTTGTAACAAGCATTTTCATTGGCTTAAAAATTTATGTTATCAGCACATAACGTAAAAATAATGATGTTGCTGTTTGTAATGTCGCTTTTCAGTTTTGATTGGCTTATACAGCGGCGTATTAGTTTCTAAGAGAAAAGAGTCCATCAATAAAAGTGGATTTCCACAGGGATTGTGTATAGTATATTAAATTATAAGGATTGAGTTGAATATATTTTTTATGTTATGGAGCTATAACACAGAAAACCAGAGTGAACTCTCATCATAAACCGCTTCACGGTTTATTTAGAGTACACTATGTTTTTTTTGTGTTATATCTCCATAACATAAAAAATATATTCAAGTTAATCTTTAAATAACACAAAAAGATGAAAAAGTGAAAAACATTCATGAATGTGCTGCAATCTGAGTAACACTTAAATTTCTTCTTAACTTCCCCACCTCCCCCAAAAAAACACCCAACAACAACTAAAGAATTAGGAAACTAGTGCAATTTTCTGCAAGATATCCTACTTTTTCCGTCAAACAGAAAATGAAGGACTTTAGCATAATTTATGTACAGGAGCTCCTTACCTTTGGGAGATGCTGTGGGTCAAAGTCCACAACAGCCATGAAGTCATCACTGCCCCGACATGTCCGTGTGGTCAGTATCCGCCAATGACCTTCATGGCTCTGAGGGTCATAGGCACCATAGCCACTGGCACGGATAAACTTTTGAAAACTCTGAAACACAAAGTCAAAAACAAGAGACTTATTTTTTTGGTGAAAAAAATTCCTTTGTCTCCCCTAAACAGCCATTACATATATTCAATTGGGCACTTAATTCACTTTTGATCCAGAGGTGAAGGTCACAGTAACCTTATAGCAGTTGACCATCTGTGGGTGAGGCAGGTACACTTCAATTTTTATAATGATATCATTGATGGTTGTTAACTTACAGCCTGGAATACAATTTGCTGAAACTTATGCATTACCTCCTAGTGACCTTATTACAGTGAGCTGCACACCTCCTAGTGACCTAATTAGTTGACTGCACACCTCCTAGTGACCTAATTACAGTGGGCTGCACACCTCCTAGTGACCTAATTACAGTGGGCTGCATACCTCCTGGTGACCTAAATATAGTGGGCTGCACACCTCCTAGTGACCTTATTACAGTGAGCTGCACACCTCCTAGTGACCTATTTAGTTGACTGCACACCTCCTAGTGACCTAATTAGTTGACTGCACACCTCCTAGTGACCTAATAACAGTGGGCTGCACACCTCCTAGTGACCTAATTACAGTGAGCTGTACACCTCCTAGTGACCTTATTACAGTGAGCTGCACACCTCCTAGTGACCTAATTACAGTGAGCTGCACACCTCCTAGTGACCTAATTACAGTGATTTTATTTTAAAATGTGACATTATAACTGTAAATAGTAGTCACATAATGAACATTGCAAACTATTACAATATACCGTATTTTACCGGCAATTAGCCCCCTCTCGCAAATAAGCCCCCTTCCCACTTTGGTAAATGTTCTGGGAACAGGGTGGGTGCCTGCCATTAAGCCCCCTCCCCTCTTTTGCAGGTGAAAAATGTGAGAAAAAAACCCCACGAAAGTTATAAAACATTTACTTGTGTCTGTGTTGTTTCTTTAAAATCTGCATCAACAGGTAGATTTAGGTCGTGTAACACCTTTCAAATTTTACAATGCTGATAAAAACAACTACACAATTATAAAATGACAATTCGGCCTCAACTGCAGACGAAATGTGCGCCTCGGTCCGCCGATATTTTCCTGTTTGCGTAGGGCACAAAGCCGTTCATTGGAAAGTTACATATTATGTTACACCGAAGTATTTCCACATCAACCATGTCAAACCCTTTATTATCATCGTAGGTGCACTGGAGAATATGTGAACAGGGGGGTTGCTCGCAATTAAGCCCCCCCCACACTTTTGGCCCATCTTTTTCTCAGGAGGGGAGGGGGGGCTTATTGCCGGTAAAATACGATAGTTACATGCAATGTAGACACTTTTCATCAGTAAACAAGAGGCCCATGGGCCTTAACGGTCACCTGAGTCTATAGTATTTATCTTAGTTTTTGAAATATGAACCAATTTGAGTAAAAAATAGTATAATGTTAACTTAACTTTGTCAGGACCATGAACTGATCATTCCTAGACAAATTTTAAGTGAGATCAGCCTATTAGAACTTAGTAGCAAAATAGCGGCCATGGCAGCCAAATTGTATTTCTGATTGACCCGAAAAATAACAACACTTTATCAGGACCATGATTTGATCATTCCTACAAAGTTTCAGTTCAATTGGCCAAGTAGAACTTTACTTTAAGTTTAAAATAGTTTTCCAAAATGGCAGCCGTGGTGGCCATATTGGATTTCTGATCGACCCGAAAAATAACAACACTTTGTCAGGACCATGAGTCAATCATTCCTACAAAGTTTCAGTTCAATCGGCCCAGCAGAACTTGACTTTAAGTTTGAAATAGTTTTTCAAAATGGCGGCCGTGGCGGCCATATTGGATTTCTGATTGACC